TCATAGACACTTTTCATTGACCATAAACGAAAAGTTAATAATTTTCATAAGAATCCAGCAATAGATTCACTATTACTGAGAATCATAAAATAATTGACGTATTTGACGCGATTGACGTGAAAAGGTACTATATATACTCATTGTGTTTTTTAGCTTCAACAAATGAATAAATCAGTATCAATAAATAAATTCAGACTTCTAACAAAACCCAATTTAATCTGCTCACGTAAATGGGATAAATGGGAACATTCGATAATTGACATTACATCATAAAAAACAAATTCCTGAAAGTACAAAAAAGGAAATGCTACGTAATGGCTGGCTAAGTACAAGCAGTACGAACTGCTGAAAGTTCAAGCAATTATCAAATAAAGTTAAGTCATTATATCGAGATCTTGCTTGAGAGGTTTATAATTACCCGTACCTCGCACGCAAAAAAGTCACCTTCAGGTAATACTACATGGAAAAAAAGTGGAAGAAAAAAATTTTAGCTTATACTAAAGAATGGTTTATAAGCACCATTCGCTCATTTCAAAAATTTACCACTGATTCCAGAGAGTAACTCCTCCATTAGGCTACTGCTGCTACTTTCATCATTACTGCTACTTGCAATTGGCAGTGCACCCTGAAAATAAAGCTACAGTGTACGAAATTATGTAAGGTTTTGAAATTGAATGCTTGATATGTTAGAAATGAGTAGCAGGACTGATTCAAATCTAAAATAAAATTAAAAATCCAAGAATTCAAAAAAAGGACCAAAAGCTAGATTTTCATATTTCTGCCGACTACTTCCAGTTTACTCATTCAGAAGTACATAATCGAATACAACTAAGCACACGAAAAATATCAGCTCCCTAATAAAAAAATATTAACTCTTCAAAATTAATAACCTTTTGCATTTCGACGAAATCATAAAATTCTTTATCGTTTCCGTTTCTCATTTTCTTGGCCGAAGGTGAACTGCTCTTTACTGAAACGGTTCCCTCCGATTTATCCTTTTCTTCTTTAGGATGCAAACGTTTGTAAGCACTACAAATGCCAATATCCGTTGATGAAGAAGCAAAAGAATGATAAAACAACATATCTTTACATACCGCAAAGTTAGTAACTTTTCATAAGTTAAATTGACTGCTATAATACCTGCTCTCTTTCGCATATTTACTCCATGCCCTTGGTTTTGTCTCGTCACCGAATGGCTTACACTCTTCTACCTGAAAGCCAAATTCTTTTGATAAATAAATTAAGGGACAAAAATAATACTTCTTGATGTTAAATGAAAGAATATGACAGCCATAAACGAACAAGCTCGCTAAAAGAGTGAAGCAAAATGTTACCAGAAAAGTTTCAATTTTTAGATGCAACTATTCCTAAATCCCAATATATTCGTGCAATCTAATTCTAATCTCAAAACAGCACCGATTTCAGTCTAAAAATAAACTAACTTTTGATTACCTCAAAGTTTATTAAGGCAAATATTAGCAATTTATAACAGCACAGCTTAAAAGAAACATGCAACATAATTCCTACCGTCAATCGTGATGCTCCCATAAATGTATTATGTAGATTTTCATGTGCTTTCTGAGCATTTTCATCTGTTTCAAATCCAACAAATGCAAAACGACGGAACTTTCCATCTTTCGTGTATTTCAATGAGCAGTCAGTGATTTTTCCAAAACTTTTGAAATGATTCCGCAATTTTTCCTCAGTACAATTCGATGGCAATCCTTTAACAATCAATCGGCTCATCCTCTGACCTAGATCAAACACAAAGTATCAATAGCAATCACTATTATAAATAATCACCAGGGAGCACGAATCAAACACATCTAACGATAGAATACTTTCTCCAAGTTTTTTGCAGGATCAACATGAAAAGGCTCGTCCCAATTGATCATTTTCTTAATACCGAAGTTTGGAACAGAGGCTTGAGCACCTTAATTGATACGATCATTTAATCTTTTTATACTAACATAACCTATTTTGTCTTGATCCATGTCAAAAAACTTGCGTTGCTTTTAAAACTAACAATTTTGCGCATTAAAGTCCTTCAAATTTTAAACGGTAACTTTGTGCGATTCATGCATTTACTATGAAAAAACTATTGTCCACTTGCAAGGGAATCGGTCACGCGTAGAAAGTCATTCCTCTTTTCCTTCCATTGTAAGTCGGCAATGAAAGATTTTTAAGATAACTTATTATAGAAATATTGTCTTTCAAAGTTGGTCGCTATAGATATTTCGAAGTCGATACCTATAGCGATCAACACTGGTAACAGTCACCACTGGTAACAATTTTTAGCACTGAATAAAAACTTGAGTGCTTTTCTGAACTGCTGGAATATTAATGAGAATAGAAAAACGAGTTCGCATAAGTTTAACTATAGCTTAAAAATCTTCAGAGAAATCCCCGCTATCAAGAAGGAATTCCAAGCCCCTTCTTTTTCTTTTTAAGAAAGAGATAATTTGAAGTTAATCCACAGTTAATAATCATTTTGTCCGATAAATGCCATCCATCCCAATGCCATAAAATTGTAACAATTATAGGTGCATTGATATTCCAATTGATGCATTGATATTTTGGACAACAATTAATCGCAAAGGCTAGGATATTCCTGGAATACAACGCTACTCGACGAAAAAATTAGTGTCAGAAATTCACCTGTAGACCTACCTCGGTAAACACTGGACATAGAAATTGGAACCTATTAGAATCTCTAATATGTTCAAATTACTCACAGCGTCCGCCACAGGAAAGTGGAACTGAACAGATCTTATTTAGCTTCTAGAAAAGCTTTTCAATTTCACCGCTTCAGAAGGCAAAATTAAGGAAAATATTTCCATCTTTACGTTGTGGAACTTCATTTTGCAATCTTAAATAAAACTGAAGGAGATAAGTGATATGAAGATTTGAAGTTCAGCTTTATAAGCATCTCGTTTACATGGTTGTAACCCATGTTATCACGAAAAGAACAGCCAATAATTTCACCGCGATATGAAGATAAAATTGACCTCATGAAGTAGATCGCTAATATTTGAAGCTCTTTTTCTATAGCAACATATACATACACATACACAACTCGGTGTTTAACTCCGTTTCACACTGAATGAACACGCTAAAACTTCATGGTGATGCGTTTAAAGCTAATATTATTTCCAAGTAATGCCTGAATCAGCATTTAATTTTTAAAAAAGTTCAGTAAAAGCCAAATTTGTATATAGGAAATAACGTATAACATAGAGCTGTCAAATTGGGCGCATCGCTTGAAAATAAATTTTGATCAGAAGCTATTTATTTTTATTTCATTGCTTGAAGGAAATTAAACTGTTGAGAAGGACAAGAAATTATTAAACTACAGAAATAACGCCATCTCCTTCAATTTCCAAGTCGATGCGCATTTAATAAATGAGCGTAGAGGTAAAATCAACAAATAATTCATGCACAGTACAACTAGCCAAGAATTTATGATATACTAATGCTAAATATAATGAAAAGAAATATAATAACCACATTCATTAAAAGTAGTGAAGGCAAGCATACAAGTATACAGTATGTTCACAAATTTATAAAATACGGCTAGCACTAAAAGTGGTAGATACATCCTCAACAATACTTCTATTGCTACCTACTGGTGGTGATAGGGTTGCATTTGGTTCAAGAATAACACTTTCAATAAGCGTGTCATTTTGCGGAAAATAGCTATTCCGGGATAATAACGAAAACCGATTATCCACGACCTAAAATCATTTCAATAAATTCGAAGTAGGAAATGACCTAGAGCTTTATTTGATTTCTATCTATAACAATTTTTCATCCTTCTTTATCTTGCAATGAACTGCTGCTTTATAATTCTCTATTTTATTTTTCTATATCAAAAAAAGAAAGCATTTAAAATACCGATATTAAAGTTACTCTCAATCCCAATTCGAATGCATCACGATCATAGAAACCATAACAAATATCATCGGAAGCGGTGAATTTACATTTTTCTTCGTTTATGAATTTGCATTTTGTAAAAGTATGTCCATTAAAAGTGAAATTTGCACATTTCATATCTTCATATCTAAAATTTTCTAGCTTAAATAGATATTTGTTGCAAATAAGCAAAAGAACTAAAGTCAAGAGTAAAAAAAATTGAATCAAACATTTACAGGACACACTATTATCCACTATCTCTGCTTTTTCATCAAATTATTCGTACCTTTTAAGTCGGCGTCTTTGTGCTTCTTCACCCCACAGAAGCTGGACATAGTATTGAGTATTCCCTGTTACTGATGGCATTGAAAACGAAGGGAAAGGAAACGAACGATTTGAATTACCATTGTTTTCTTCGCCATATAAGGAAGGAAATTCAATAGTAAACTTCTACAACAGTCAATAAATTTCCTTCTCGCATAAACTGATAAAAATAGAGATCAAAATAAAACACTGAAATCGGCAATCGCTCTTCGACTTCTACATATTACTTAGAGAAGCAAATTTCGAAGAAAGAAAGTTTGAAACAGTCACTTGTTTGCTACGATGCAAGATAGAAACGCAGTTAGATGGTGTAACAGTGCATTGACCGATAGCTTTTTTTGTCTCATTATTCATTACAACGATACGCACAAACGCATCTCTAAAAATAAAAAAAAAAACGATAAAAGAAGCAGGATATTCCAGTGATTGATTTAGAGCTCAAGCAAGGTAAATCTTTGATATTTTGGTTTCAAGAAATGCTTAATGGTCAACTTTTCGATCAAAAAAATAGGTTAGGGAAAAAATGAAACCAAATGAATTACAACAGCAACAAGCATCAAGGACTCATCTCAAGCTATTCACCGCGATAGAGTAGAGTGGGTAAAATTTGGGATAAAAGGCACCTTTAAAAGATTGGTAGGACTGCTTATAAAAAAATAGAAATAGGATACCTCGAACCCTTATTTTCAACATTGAAACTGATATTTGTAACTCCCTGAGCTGTCAGAACAAATGAGCCATCACGCAGCATCGTTAGTCCAGACTGCGTCAGGATGCGTAAACCAGCAACTCCACCACTTCCGACCAAAGGAATCTGAATTTCGTAATAAATCCAAATATTTATTAGACTTCTCTTCGCTCTTTGTTCCTTAAATCGCAGTGAAAAAAGGACAAAAATGCCAACAGAATAATAAAGAATAAAATCTTACGGAATAATTGATGTGCTCTGCGTTAAGAACTGTGATAGTCAGACTATTTTGAAAACAAGCTCCATAGAGAGGTTGAAATATGACATGAACCAAATGGATTTCTTGAGGCTTCAACACAAGAATGCCCTGCTCCACTAGCTATAAAAATATACTTTAAATTCAGAAAAAACCTTGGGCTATTAAAATGATTGAAGAATAAGAATATCTGTTAGTACCCGCGATAAATTACCATCAAACAGTAAATAATAATCATCATTAAATAATAAAGATTAAGCCGGAATTTAAAACTTATATCTGAGGCTAGTAAACACATACTTCATATCCACTACTCATGCTACGCAACTCTAGCTTGAGATTTAGCGACTTTGAGCTGATATTTCGTAATCTAATTGCTCTATTTACACGACATTTGACGTCGACAAATCCAAAATATATAAAAGGCAGATCACATGACAAAAATTTGCCTTGACTTTCCGCAAGCGAACTACAATAAATCCATACTAAATAACTTAAAATAGTTCATTTAATTAGCGTTCATTTAATTATATCAGATGCCATGGTACTCTAGAAAAGACTTCGGTATTATAATTACTGATACAATTTCATTCGCACTTTGAATATGAATATTTTGCAAACCGAAAAGAAGATAAAATCAGATTCAAATTTCAAAAACTAAAATCATTTCTTAGTACCTGACCATTTCATTCATGCATATTTTTATAAGCTATCTGACCGACTTATTTTAGGATGCCAAATAATAGAGTCGATTGAAATATTTAAAACGGCAACTATAACATATTATTGCAACATTACGCTTACCAATCACTGTGTGCTTTCAGACTTCTACTTTTCCACTCTGTTTTTAAGGTCGGTGGCAAATCTTCTGAATTATTACTGTTCTCCCGTAATGAATTTAGCTCTTGTACAGTTTTCAGCTTTTTTGTTTTATTGGTTATGCCTGAACGGTCATGTTTGGTAACCACTGAAAAGATTAGATCTTTTATTTTTGACAATCTCAGCATCAATGTTATACAGGTCTTAAAATTTGTAAGTTGAAATTTAAAGTCATACTAAAATCCGTGAATATAGGCAAAAAAGGATAAAAGAATATGATTGATTCACGCAATCGTTTTCCATAATTGAATGAAAAAGCAAGTTGACACCAACCTTTTTGCATTTGATTATGATGGTTAGAATTAGAAGTCTTATCCACATTGTCCGGTGCATCAGCTGGCTCTCCACGCCTTGTTAAACAATGTTCCACTTTGTCTAAAACAGTTACATTATCGGTGAGCATATGCACTCTTTCCAGTACCACAGCATTTTAGTTTATGACATAAACACATTTTAGTTTATGACATAAACAACTGAGAAGATCACTTAAAAGTTAAAAAAAGAAACTTCCACTCATTTGCTTTAATTAGTATTTTGCCTACCCATAGCACTAGAAGCAAAAAAAAAGTTTCCAAACCATCAAAAGCAATACATTTCTGTATCAAACGACAATAACAATACGAAGCCAATTCTTCAATTCTTGCCCAAATGGCAATTATATGACATGTAGACAAGGCCTACGGGAACCTAGGAAACCCAACATCAAACATATAAGCAGACCATTTGTTCCGACCCACTCTCTTCCAATTATTTCAGGAAACTTCAGCTTCAGACGAGGTCGTGTTTTAGCTTGTAGCAATGCTTCAACCAGTGCGTCGTCATTGTCAAAATTTTCCGTCTGTAAAAAACATTTTATAACCCCGTCTCACAGCATCATTTCAGATCGAACTAAAGTAATCTTAAATTCAATAACAACCTCAAGAACTCTGTCGATGGCAGAACTACTTAAAGATGGTTCTTCCACAACCCTGGACATTTTGTGGGGCATCATGAAGTGACCATTGTACTTTAAATTCATTCCACGAATAGATTTGGGTGAAACTGTTTCCGGATAAATTGATGAAATGCAATTTATACTCAAATTTTGAAGCGAAGAATCTGTTGCTGAAACATATAAGCTGTTCAGAAAATAACTATATCATAAAGAACATTTCCTTCGATTTTGCAAAATTTTTGCTTTTACCATCCTATCCCAAACGGCTGACATTGTAGATATGCACTAGAAATATAAAAACAGACCAAGGACGAAAATCTTATTTCTTGTGTTCTGGAGAGAACTTTATAATCCTTAAATTTCGGAAAATGCAACATTTACATTTAGGAGTAGACATTTTGGGTTCGTGCTTTGGTTCATTCCTTCTCCTTCGGTGCCGCACATTTGAGAAATTACGCGGTGGTGTATTTTCAAAATCCTGGTTGGTTTCTTTTCGAGTAGATAATGTTACAGGTATTAAATGAGAATCCGTCATGTCTTTGAATAAAATAGCTTGTTAATTTAAAATTAAGACGAGATTTGTGTTAATTTTTGCAGCGGTTATAGCGGACAACTACTGTGACATAAAACTCTTAAACAGATTTAAATTAATTGTTTTTTCCTACATTATTAATTTTAAAACAACGTCAGGTATCATTTAATCACTAATTAATCAGTAAATTATGCAGACTTATTTTCCTTTCCAAACAATGAAAGAGATATTTTCTGTACCCGTAGAGAAGCTTAAACCCTTCAAGTTAAAGAAACTTGGATGCGATTACATTGCTGTTATACCTGTAGCTTCCACATTACCGGACTATGAAATCGAAGTTAACGAAAAAAATTTTCCACAACTCTAATAAAAACAACTGCTGTAATGATTAAAATTTATATCTGTTTATAACGGAGACATACTAAAAGCAAAAAGCTCATCGACGCAGATTTTTGGTGTTGGTGGGGGAGAATGATGAATTGATGGCTCCCAACTATTCTGTTTCTCCAGACTTGGTTCATTGAAACGGAAGTCATCTTGTGCTAATTGCTTATGCTTATAAAATGATTCCTGATCACGCTGTAGCTTCTCAATGCCTAGAAAAAATGAAAATCAAATTTAATTTACTTAGTAAAGGTGAATCACTGGAATGGAAAGTTAGTAAGCAAATGAATTCCAGATTTCATTATTAATGTAGTGGAAAACGTTATTGATGTAGTAGAAAAAAACTATTCTCTTTCTCTAGAATGGGAATTATTTCAACAAGAATAAGAACACAATCAAATTTGCTTCTTGACAACAAGATGTTTACTTGACCTGAATCCTAAATGCACCTTAATTGTTTTCTTAACAATTCGAGAAGGAGTAAATTAATAATTCTGAATCTGATAATGACAAATGGAGAATTATAATTTGATAAATGACAGCTTCTTAATAATGCTTCTAAAACGAGTGTCTCGTTCCCAGAGAATGTGAATTCTGTAATGCATAAAGACTTATACCAAATAATACTTGCCTTCTCCTCCACCTTTAAACAGTGGACTTTCATCTCTTATACTCACGTTTTCACCACTTAGTTCCCCTTTTAAACCACGTCCAAAAATCGAATCAACATATGTATCTTTTTGTGCACCAATTTCGTTTCCTTAAAACAGTTAACTATGAAAGAACATGTTATCTAGATATTAAAAACATAAAACTAAAACTGAGTTCTAGAAATTATTGAACCGTTCTAGCAACACAACTTTTCGAAAACTCCCAAAGGCAGAAAAATATACATAACCTTCCGTTATATTATTTGATTCTTCGGCTATAGTAGACAGTCTCGATGGCAAATGGTTAGTAATTGCTGTTGTTTCATCCAATTTTTTACGCTCCACCATTGCGTGGTCTAAAATATGGAAGTAAAACTTACTATATTCAAAGATATCAACTAACAACAAAATAGTAAAAAACCTTGGAGCTGTCGCTGTGGATATATCTTTAAGAGGAGTAAATTTTTTAGAATACAGTCAGTAGAATACAGTTATGAGTGGTCATAACTATCAACAATGAAACTATTTTTCTTTAAACATAAGTAAACATACATGTAAATAGACGTGAACATATATCATATTTAACCAGTTTGCAAAATTAATCTAATATGTAACTGACCATCAATATAGAGATCATCTTCATAGAGAGATAATTTTTCGTCAGTTTCCGAGTCAACATCATCGAAACGATCCTCTTGTATCTCCCATGAGGAAGAATTCATTACTCAAAATGTCCACCTAATTGACTGCACTAACAACAGCAGAAAGTTAATAGAGCTGATAAGAAACAAGTCGTGAAATCACACAAAACGTTAGGTCAACTAATGAAAACAAGCAGAACTCGCAATATTTTAAATTTAAATTATGCAACGAAATATGCAAATGTTTGGGACATGAGATCCTGAAAATGGAGAGACGTTTCAGTATTTAAACCTGAAACATGAAGGTTTATGGTATATGTTTACTCTCTAGTAGGCATCGCTGTTAGGGAAGATAAATAAAAGACTAACTTTTATCTAAGTAATTTGATTCTCGAAATTTTCTGGTACTTATAAATGAGGAAATATCTATTGAATCAATCCTGATTGAGCAGAATCATCAATCAATGGGAGGGAGATAGATATTCGTCATTTAACAGGCTCTACTATAAATTTTAGTACTTTAATACTATGTCGAAGCATTATTGAATGAATTCATCGAAATGTATATAAAATGCATACGAAAAGCATTTGAAAATATTTCTCTTCTATTTCATCTCAATTATGGAACGTACTGTGTAAATACACGGAACTACATAAACAGACTCGATGCCATCCATCAAACTTCACACTCGGAAAAACGTGAAAAATTTGGAACGCTTCACGAATTTGCGTGTCATCCTTGCGCAGGGGCCATGCTAATCTTCTCTGTATTGTTCCAATTTTAGTATATGTTCGTCAGGACGAACGAGTGTTACTCCATTACCCACCTATACATACACTACCTATTGATTTGCATTCAATGAAGAGTGGATTAGAGAAAAGAGATCTAGGAAAGTAGCATTAGTTAGAGAGAGTACATAGTATGACAAAGAATTCATCTCTCTTTGTTAAAGAATCACGTTAGTAATGTAATTCACGAAAAAAATATCTGCTATTCTCATTTAAACCACGTAAATCATGGGATAGATATCTTATGGAATTTATAGATTGTTTCACGGAAATCTAATAGAGAATACATGTTACACTGTGAAATGTTCGATATGGTTGTTACGTAGTTTCAAGAAATGCTTGTGGATTTGATCCCGTACGTTGCATTTCGTTTCGTGTCGTTTCTCGGACCAGTAATCCCGGGAGTTACTGAGAGTTACTTTTGATTGGAGTGAGACGCATGAGATATTGCATTTAGTTGGATAGTTTATGAATATTTCTTCTGAATTATGTCCATATCCGTATTAAAAGATGTCTCATTTTGTTGTTTCATTTCGGATATATCGCACTGTAGAAATGATAATCTAATGGATCTCTTTTTTTCCGAAAGTTTAATTTAAGGTATTTCTAGCAAATGCGCTTGAAATCTATGTATTTGTCGCGCTTGTGTGAACGGAACTTCACTTGTTCCCGACTAGCAAAAACAAGCAAACTACAGTCTGCACCACCGCAAACTTTCGAACTTGATGGTAAGCTTCACTTTTTCAGATAACTTCCATTTCTACAGTTTGTAGAGTTTTTCAAGTTGCTGAACGTTAACAATTAAAAGTCTGCGTGTTAAATGTTCATCTGTGTACTGTGGGTGAATCTTATTAGTGGCGAATTTACTTGAAATGGGAATAAAAATGTAGCGGCATTCAGTTGTTTATATGGAGGGAAAGATTGATGTATTAGGACTGTGTTTTTAGGATTATCATTATCTCCCGATGAAAAGTGGAATTTATCGCCAGCTGTATTGCGAACATTGCAAAGGCGTTTGCTTTTCGAAGTTGATAACCCACTTTGTTTGCTAAAACAACGCATTGTCAATTTTATTTACGGAAAGTATCAAGTGAAAGGTAGAGTTACAGATATTCCTTTCAATAATTACTGGAGGGTTTTTGAGATTGTTAAAAGAATGATTAATATAATGGTAGCATAAGTTAAGTCCATATTGTTTATTAGGTTGACGAGTATTCTTTACAAAGTAAGCAACAGAGAGGTGACCGTGCAATTACCACAGAACTTAATCATTAACTGATCTTTTATCACTCATGACAAAGTTTTAGGTGGAATGTCTCCTCAGTTTGCAGTGATTGATAATCAGCCACGAGTAGTTTCTGTATTTGATAATTTTGATTCCTTGCTTGTACCTGCAAATCATATCAGTCGGAGTGTTCAAGATACTTACTACATTAACAAAGACTATTGCTTAAGAGCACATACATCGGCGCATCAGCATTCTTTGATCAGACAAGGTCCTCTTAATTTTTTTTTCTTTTTTTCAAATTTTATCGACAAAATAGGAATATCCAAGTCTTGCTTATTTTAATCTTTCCTTCATACTTTATCAATACCAAATTTTTTTCCTTTATTTCAACTGTTTTAATTCCATCCTTCCGAAATTCATCTATTCGTTAAAGCTCAGTGCTGGTTAACGATTTTCAGATTTCAGGCCTGGACAACTTTCTTGTGATCGGTGATGTGTATCGACGTGATGCAATTGATAGCTTTCATTTTCCATGTTTCCATCAGATAGAAGGTGTGCGCTTGTTTACCGCTGCTGAATTGTTTGGCGATTCGCTGGATCGAAATCCGGTAAAATGTTATAGCTATTTGTTTGAAAAGATGTATTCAGAATTTCTATTCAAATCTTTGCATTTGAGCTAAAATCCTTGCCTTCTCTATGGTCAAGAAGCCTTTTGTGCATGAAAAGACTGCATATCTGAAATAAACTATGATGGAAAAACAGATATTTAAGTGCATAGAATTTCAGAAACCACTTTTTACGAATGATAGAAGAACTGAGAAAAAGCAGGGACGACATACGACAGATGTCGCAGAATGCTTGATTAAAGATTTAAAGGTTTTAGTGGTTAATTAAATTCATAAAGAAAATATTTAGTAATATCTCATTTCTTCTACTACATTTTAATTTTAGGATGAAATCATTAAGATACATCTTGCTTTACTTTTTCGTGGCCATTTATGGTAATATACTTAAGACAACTTTGGAGACTCTCTGCCATCACATATTCGGCACTAATTATGACATGAGATGGATTAAAGCAGATTTTCCATTCACATATCCATCATTTGAACTTGAAGTTTATTATGAAGATAGATGGATAGAAGTTCTCGGTTGTGGTATTATGGAACAGGATCTTTTGAGAATGGCTGGCATTGTGGATAAAGTCGGTTGGGCGTTTGGCCTAGGCCTTGAAAGACTTGCTATGGTAAGTCATTCATATTTTTATGAAATAATTTTTATGGATGACTGAGTGACTTTCATTTCTTTGATTTTAATGTATGGCATGAAATTCGTTTTTATCTTGCTCGCTTTTCAATCTTCCTTTAAAGGTATATTTTGAAAACTTTTAGTGCGCTATATTTTTGGCTGGGATACAAGTCTCATTCTTTACAGGCTTTATACGGGGTTCCGGATATTCGGTTATTTTGGAGCCTCGATTCAGGATTTTTAACACAATTTGCTGGAAAATCTCCCAACGAAGATTTTAAATATGTGCCTATTAGTATTCATCCGCAAGTATTCTATGATCTGTCATTTTGGCTTCCAGAAGGTGTTGGTCCCAAGGAGATGAATGCTGAAACTTGTGATTTAATACGTTCTATAGGTGATCAGCTCATTGAACAGGTGAGATATATATGTCTGGCAAATAAATATTAGTAGGTTTTTCAGCATGGAACGTATTAAATTAAATCACAAGTTATAAATGTTAGTAGGAAAATAATTGTTACCTTGGTTTCACTATTCATTAGTGTATCTTCCTGCTCACTTAGAAGTATAATGTTTTTAAATGAAATTATACTCTCTCTAGGTTAAAATAACCGATACATTCGAGCACCCAGAAACAAAGAGAATAAGTCAAACCTATCGTTTGGTATACCGGAGCCATGAAGAAGCTCTTACGAAAGAGACAGTGAATAAAGTTCACTTTAAAATCAGACAAAAAATGGTTGAAAATTATGGTGTTGTATTGCGGTGATATCTTTGTTTTTGTTCTCGAATCTTTCAGGGAAGCATGTTTACTGGCGCTACTGCGTTGCAAATGATATAATCTTAGCTTAAATATTAGCAAATCAAGCTGTTTTATTTTCGAATTATCTTTGGAATCATTCGTTAGGCTTTTGAAACCAGCTATTTTTTAATATCTTTCATGCTAAAACTTTAGCATGAAATCAGACAAAAAATGGCTGAAAGTTTAATTAAAAACAGCAATTACATGTGACATTTTCTAATATTCATGCGAAGGGAACAGCTGGGTTCTTTCAGGCATATTTATGTCGTGAAGTAATTATATTATATTAATTGCCATAGATACATAGGGATACAAGGATATTTTCTATTATTGTTTCTTCGTTTTTCATTTTGTGTTATACAGATGTAAATACATTGCTCCAAATTAATAAAAATTAATGTCTCAACTTGTCTGATACTAAATTAGTGTTGGATACATACATATTTGCATAAAATGCTGAAACACATGTCTGAACGTTTGTTAGTTTTGCGGAATTATCTGGTCGTGATTTGATCACTAGGCTAGTGGAGGGCTATCATGAATGTGAGGCAGTTTTTGAGTATTGCAATAATTTTTCAACGTAACGATTTGGGGATTTGTTGAGATAATTAATTATTAAAAAAACCTTTAAAAAATAGACATATGGGTAAGGTGTACTATCTCGAGAGTAAAACTGTCCTGTTTATAATTCTAGCGGCCGTCACGTGATTCTTCATTTAAATTTTGACGGAGTCTGGATGTGAATAACTTCACTCGTTTATGGCTGTATATCTTCATTAATATCCTTACGATGATTTGTCGCTCGTTTATTAGATAAAAATGAAATGGCAATGATTTCTCCGCGAAATATTTGTTTATACTTTCGGAAGTATTCGTATTACTCTGGCAAACACGTCTCCATTCAGGATAGCAAAAGGTTACTCGGTCATTCTTATTCGAATTCGATTCGTTTACCATTATTAGGTCATATTACGCTATAATAAATGAACTCGGTTATATTAGTTAGTATCCGTCTCATTATTTGCTCCTAGTTTTTAGTCTTTTATTTGACAAAGGAAAGTCATTTTAAAACTTTTTCTCCAAAAAATTAAAGAATTGCAAAAAAATAGTTTAACATGTCAGGGATACTTCCTTCAACATAGATGCTGTAATAAAGAGTCATGAAAAATGGATGGGACGTGCTGCAGCAATACAAGCAAAAGAATCAGATCCCAAAATTTATCGGTAAGCTTAACGCATTGTTTCATTTATATTGCATGATATTGCTTCCGTCAATTTTGAGTTCGCTTCTAAATTTTGTAATCTGGTAAATGAGGTTTTACCAAGTTTTTGAATTTTATTTATAATTTAAGAATAATTCTACCGCCTCCAAATGTTACCGGCAATCTTCACCTTGGCCATGCCTTAACAGTAACTGTGGAAGATGCCATGTGCCGATATCGACGTCTTCAGGGACAGCAGGTATGTGATAAACAATTGAGTTGTGAATTGATTAGATTTGTTCAGTTGAAATAAACATTTGCTTTAGAATTATGGAATTTCGAGTAAGCCTGTTAGAAGTTTGTTTACTGGTTACTTCCACCATATAATTTTAGGTAATATGGTATCCTGGATTCGATCATGCAGGAATTGCCACACAAGTTGTTGTTGAACGAATGTTGTGGAATGAGAAAAAATTACGAAGACATCAGATCACACAGCATGATTTCTTGAAATTATGTCAGCAGTGGAAGAACGAGTAAGATTTTTTAGTGATTATTTTGTTGGTTATAGGTGTTACGGACTTGTAAATTTTCTTTGTCAAATAGTTTTCCAATTTCTGAATAAAATTTAGTCGTGATTTTGTGTTTTAGGCGAGTGGCTGATATTTCGAAGCAGCTGAAAGCTCTTGGTGCAACACTTGATTGGCATAATATGTACTACACATTAGATGATGTAGGTGGGTTTTTTGCCTTTTATTTTGATTTGATAAATATTATTTACATTATTTGGTTTATATCTTTTTTGTTTTAGTATGATTTTAAGCAAACTTTTAAGCAAAATCAGACAGAAAATGTTTTATTCAAAAACATTAGTCGCAAGTTAGAAGATTATTAGATTATTTAGATATAAATGATTCATTGAAGTGTTACTGGTAAAAATGTGGCGTTGTTAATTAAAACTTCGAATAAGAAAACAATTTAATAAGTTTTATATCAAATAGTCTTAATGTGTATAAATTTTGAAAAAAAAATTTTGACATTTTCTCTTTTTTAGAAATTTTCTGAAGCGGTTGCTGCTGCATTTTGTCAATTATACAATGATGGTTTGATATTCAATGATTTGAGAATGGTCAGTTGGTGTCCGACTTTAAGGAGCACTATTTCCGATCAGGTGTGCTTTTGCATCGCTTTGTAACTGATGTGCAACAAGTATAATTTAAGGGTGTCACTATAGAGAGATAGGATAAGCAATATCATATGTAATGAATATAATTGTATATATATTTTTATATTTTTAGGAAGTTGATATTGTAGATATCGGGAAAAATGATTATTTCCCACTGAATGAATCAGGTTTAAAAAGGAAATGTGTTGAAGTAGGTGTTATGCATCGAATTCGTTATGAATTTTTGAATGCAAACAGGTGGGGTTTCATTTTTCATTTCAGTGAATTATTGTTTTCATTCTTATCATTATTGGTTTTTTAATGAATTTATAAAATAAAACTTCGAAAATTTATAATTTATGTCAGCAAAATAATTATGTTTTTTTTTCAGCTCATTTGGCGATAATTATTTAGAAGTAGGAACAACAAGGCCAGAAACATTGTTTGCTGACTGCGCATTAGCTGTTAATCCGAATGATAAACGTTATGTAAAGTATGTCGGCTTGTATGTTCGGCATCCTTTGTTTCCAGATCGTACATTACCTATTTTAGCTGATACAACAGTGCAAATTGATAAGGGTACAGGTAGGTGATCTTGAAAATATAAATCGAATTTGAAGTAAAGCAATAATCGAGATAAAAACTCTTCTTTCTGTTATTTAATTTAATTTTCTGAATTTCTTATTTCTTGTGTTTTTCCAAGAATCTTTGCTAACTAACTTTTGCTCTGATTGTCGGGTTCATTTTTTTCAGGAGTTTTAAAAATAACACCAGCACACGACTTTACTGACTTTGCTATCGCTAGAAGTCATTCAAATAAGCTGTCCGATGAGGACTTCAATCGATCTTGTATCGATGAATCTGGTTGTCTCATAAATGCAGGCGATTTTAATGGAATGGATCGATTTGAAGCTAGGAATAAAGTAACTCTAGTTTATATGAATCACTTCCAGATCTCAGAAAAAACATGAGTAATATTGAAGTTCAAATTTAGATAATAGCAAAACTGGTTGCATGTGGTAAATATGGTGGGACAATGCCTTATCATGAACAGCAACTAAGGATATGTAGTCGAACTGGTGATATTATCGAACCAATGATTAAGAAGCAGTGGTTCATGGATTGCGCTACTATGAATGATACAGCTCTTAGAGCTATTGAACAGGGCTTGGTATGTTATTTGTTTACATTTTAACTTTAATATTCTAAACCAATAGATTTTATTGCTTAACAATCCCAATTTACTGATTTAAAAATTTCCTTTTCATTCTCAGATGAATTGTAAATTTCCTTTCGGTTGCAGCTTACTATATCTCCGAAATATATGCAGAAGCATCTGGAAAATTGGTTGAATAAAAAAGAACCCTGGTGCTTAAGTAGACAGCTTGATTGGGGACAGCGGATACCGGCATTTCGTCCCGATTCCAATAGGTTTGATTGAAACTTGAAAATATACACAAATTATTGTACAAATCGTAAATTTCTTCGTAAGTTTTTCAAGAAGGTCATTATTCAGCGACTGGATTGTGGCCCCAAATGAGTCTGAAGCGTTGCGTCTCTGTGATGCAGCAAACACTAAAATGCATTTAAAACAGGATGAAGATGTCTTGGACACATGGTTTTGTTCGTCGCTTATCCCCATTATTTTGCTTGGTAAATATTTGTTAGACTTCATAGATGTGAAATCCTTCGTAGTTTGCGGTCGCACATTTACCAGTAGTTTGTATATTCTAGATTCATTTACAGGTTGGCCAAGAAAGCGAATTGATCGCATTCCATTATCTGTGTTGGAAACTGGGTACGACATTGTTGGATTTTGGGTAGCACGAATGGTTGCCGTTTGTTATAGGTTTTTCCTTTGTGAAACATTGGCGAATCATTAGCCTCAGAATTCCATCATATTTTTTTTCCTGAAAATTTTCTTTATTTTTCCCACTACTACCGTTATAATTAAATGATTTTTCACATTTATTTATTTATGTCTGATAGTTATCACCAAAATTAATTTTTAGTTTAACGGGTTATTTGCCTTTTCCAAAAATTGTGCTACACGGTTTGGTACGTGATGAAAATGGAAAAAAGATGAGTAAATCGTTGGGAAATGTAATCGATCCAATGGATATTGTTGATGGTATTTCACTCCAGAAAATGTTGGAACGTCTTGACAAAAGTACTCTTTCGGAGACAGAAAAAAGTGAGCTTACTTATGAAGGTTGTAAAATAAGTTATTCTAATTTTCATGTTGTAATTATTGCTTCCACCGATGGTGAGTGGTCTGTGAGCAGCGACAACTGTATTTATGTTACTGATATCAGACAGTTTGAAAAAATTTAGAGATGGCATCAGATTCGCTGAAATCTCGATTCCCGGAAGGAATTCCTCGATGTGGTCCGGATGCTTTACGTTTCGCTTTACTCCGTCATGATGTTGGTACTATGGACATCTATATCGATGTTGTACAAACAGCTGTGGAAGGTTTAAGGTGAGAAATCACATATTTAATATCTGTTACAGATTTAGTGTTCCATCAGCTAGAAATTTCACTGATTAACTAATTCAGATTTTAAATATTAAGCAATTCAGATTTTGCAATAAGTTATGGAATCTTTGTATATATGCGAATGAAATATGGCGAAATAATTGCGAAATTTCTGATAAAGTTTGCGGTGATCGTATTGAAGTTTGTTACATCTTATTTAATTTTCACATCGACATTTGTAATGTATTCTATATTCAAAATTCTATGCTACGGCAGAAGGATGAAACAATTTAATTTATTCATAAAAATTTTTGTTCCTAAGGAATAATTGCAATTAAGTGAATGATGGAATTAATTGCAATGTAAAATTTTGCTCATATATCACTGATTGTAAAACTCATGTCACTTCTGAAGTATTTTCAGGATTGCTGGATAAGGAGTCGTTTGGAAAGTTCTTTAATGATAATATCAGAAAAAATGGAGTCAGACTGCCCCCATTTAGCGCTTAGTACACTACATGGCTTTCTGTACAATGATTTATGTGATGTTTATATTGTGAGTTTCTTCTCAGTTTTTGTCGAAGCTTTATGTTAAAGTTGAGTTGCAGAAACTTCAGAATATTTACTACACTGCTTGTTTGATTTCTTCAAACGTCCAGAAGACTAATGATTTTTACCTTATATTAACTTTTTGAAGAAATCAGCTTTAACTGAAGTAAGCACAGATCTTTTGTCAATAGTATTATTCAGGAATCTACAAAAAAAGCATTATGGTCAAAAGATTATCCAAGACTGAGGGTAGTTGCTGAAGTTTTGCATGATGTTATTGAAAAATCGTTGGTTCATCTTTCGGTTTTCATGCCTTTTGTGAGCCAGTATCTTTTTGATCGCATCAAACGAGAAAAAGAAAGCAGTATTTTTGACGTTAGCCCAAAGATGGTAACTTCATTTACTTTTGTCTTTTCATCATATATTCATTTGTATACCTGTTCTTTCAAGCAGTTGTTTCATAACTTTTGACCTGCATTGGGAAACTTTGATTTTTAGGATTTGAAGCCTTGTTTGATCGATAAAAAACTTGAAAAAGATATGTCTTTTGTGCTAGAGGTGATTAAAGCTGTAAGGTCTATCCGGGCACAGTTTCGAATTCCTACAAAAAATACTTTGCAAGGTATAATTTTCTCAAAAATCATGTTTTGCTTTATAATCATTTCCTGCATTCAGTCATTTGGAAGGGTTGTCCATCATTAATTTGCAAGTTGTTAACTGTTCTTCTATCAAATATATAGTTTCGTGCTTTGCCCGTTTTTAGTAGCTTGTTATGGAGGAAACTGCGATCTGAAAAATTTCCAGTTTATTATTCAAGAACTCTGTAACGTCACAGTCTTGTCAGCAGCTACAGAAGAGAACAATAATTGTACTGTGCCTTTTCCTGTGTCTGGTTATTCAGCCGAAATCCATCTCTCTATTGGGGTACGTGAATAATGCTTCTGACAATACGAAATAAGAAGTCAAATTCCAATTCTTCTCTTTAATCTTACACTTTTTAATTAAAAGGAACTGTTATAAATAAAAAATTTTGCATTAAGGTTCTCAATATTATTTTGCAGGGTGATTATGGTTCCTTAGTTAAAAAAGAATTATTGAGGCGATTACAGAAGGCAGAAAAAAGGAAAGGACAATTTTTGCATCAAATTGACAGGCATGAAAAATTAGCTAGAAGTGCAACCAGGGATGATTTAGTAGAAAGACATCAGCGAAAAATTTCTCAGGTGAGCTGTACAAATATGCGACTTAAATCATGTAAATTCTAATGATCTGCAAAATTTTCTTGTAAATTTTCTGGTTTTTCAGATTTTTAGCGTTTATGTGTTTTTTAGATTTAGCATGTTGCGAAGTTTTGCTTTTTCTGTATCGATGGCGTATAATAGTTCATTTAAAGGACATTAATGTTTACTTTCCCTGCCTCACGTTTTCCGGAAATTTCATTTGTAGTTAGCGGATGGTCTCATCTAGCCTTTCATGATTGAGATAGTTTGCTAACGATGTAGGACTTTTCATCGCGTAATCTTCGTTGCAAGAAGATATTTTGCTATCATAATTTTATTTATCTTCGTTATTCATTGCAGGCAAATACAGTGGTGAATGGTATGGTTGAGGAAATTTCAAAATTAGGAGCTTTAATTAAAAGATTAGAAGCATTTTGACTAAGCATCATTGTATGGAATAATAGTATTTATATGAGGAAAGTTGTATTGAGGCATTGATCCTTTATTAAGTTAAGTTATAAATTTCAAAAATTATCCTTAACATTTGTTTTTTTTTGCTTTTCAAATTTGTTTTGCTCAAACTTCTGCACGTATGTTTTAAATTTGTGGTGAATCGATTGTTCTTTCTTTTTCTCTAATATCTTCTTCCCATGTTTTTCTTTATTGCAGATAGTCGCAGTTGGGCTGACCAACTTCTATAATTTCAATTTTTTTGACCTTCAGTTGTTAATTAGCATTTGGTTAGAATTATTACTAAATCAAATTAAGAAAAAAAATTTGTCTTATTCCGTGTTAAAATATCTTTTTCCGTAATTTTATTTGTTTTATGCTATTTAATTTGAAATTAATAAAACACATAGAATAATTTCCCTCTCTATGTTCATGCATTAGAATACATTGCAATGTCATTCATACCTCTACTTGATTTGCTCGGATTTAAATTTTTGTGTTTAGCTTTCAGTGTTCTAAAATTTAAAAATTTTCTTAAGAATTTGGTGTTCGGTTACAAACGATGGGTAGGAGCAAACGGCTTTCAGAATGGCTTCTAATAGGAGTGGGCATACTGCATATAATAATAGCACCCTATACAAAAGTTGAAGAAAGCTTCAATGTACAAGCTATCCATGATATCTTATATCATCAGTTGAACTTTAGCAAGGTATGTTGTCACAAGTTTTTTTGAACAAAATATCTTAGGCTTCGTAATTTATATGAAGTCTGTGAGCAATAGCTAATTGAATTGTGCAGTAAAACTTTATTTATATGTCTTATTTGAGTGCATTTCAACACGAACAAATTTTTTTGTTCATTGACACTAGTGGAATTAGCTTAATGAATCATCACTGAGATAACTGATGATATAAGATCATCAGTTGTGATTATTTTACCGAGGTAATTTTTCAAATTCCGAGTTTTTCTTGTTACGATTCGCCTGGATTTCAATTTCCAGTATGATCATCACGAATTTCCTGGAGTGGTGCCACGTACTTTTATGGGTGCTATGGTAGTTAGTGTTCCACTTTTTCCTGTAGTGAGTTATTTCAAGTGGAGTAATATTGCAAAACACTGGATTTTGTACGGCGGTTCGTTTCAAGCTTTAATGATATTAGCAATGTTTTGATATATTAAATAAATTTTATTGTTTAGTTGTAGTTGACGGTTTTCTATTCAACGCCTTGAACTTTTGTAAAATGTTTTCAACACTACTTTTTTTCAAAAGAAGCATATTCTAGCAAGATTCGTGCTTGGTCTAACAGTCTTATTCGCATTTCTCCATTTTGCTGAAAGAATTGACAAAAAGTTTGGTGAATTATCGGGAGACTTTCTGAGGTATTTTTCTTTTCTAACAGATTTTGATTTAGAATGTGAAACTTGGTAGTTTCTAGTTGCAAATTTATTGGCTACATCAGTTAATAGGCTTCATACCAACAATATGGACTGCAATTTATGTAAAGTAACATGGTTTGGTACACTAGCTTATTTTATAGTTCAAGAAACGTTGTTTGCTCATTATGATACTGGAAAGCTCTTTTTATTTGCAGAGACTCGGAAAACAGTTTTCAAAAATGAAGTCATCTTCCTTAAATGTATTGCTCACTTAACAAATTTCAATTTTTCGTCAGTTAAGGGGAAAGTTTCAGGTTGACTATAGCAACACAGTTCCATTTTATGTTCTACTGTTCCAGGCCTCTTCCAAATACATTTGCTCTATTTGGGGGTAAGAGTTTTTCCACCTTTTCTTATGATTTTTGTTCAATTTCTATGCTCAATTAGAGTACTTAAACCTAATTGAAAACCTTCAATTGCTTCATTTCTATTTTTTGTTCGTTTCATTTCGTTTTTATGATTTATAAACTGTAGTACTTTGGACTTACCAGAAAATTCTGGATGGACATTGGTTATGTGCAGCACGAATTGCTACTGTTTTCACACTACTGTTTCGATGTGAACTGGTAGTGTTTTATGGTTGCGTTTTCATATGGCCTGTTTTAACGCGCCAGCTATCTCTCTTTAGTTGGAATGGTGCAATTATTCATTGCTTGTCTGCTGCTCTGTTCATTTTAGGTTAGTCATCTATACATTTTCTTTAGACATTTCGTCACATACATATATATTCATTTAATCATTTATATATATATATATATATTTGGACCATTCACTTAAATATAATTTGTAAGTTTGTGCGGCTTTTGAAGTGTTTTGATTTCGTTTAAAGAGTAAAGTTGTCCAAATTTTTGTTAAATGCTTGCGCAGGGTATAAATTATTTAGGTGTATCCGTGCCAGTAGATTCTTTTTTATGGCGAAGATGGGTATGGCCCGAAGGTGAAGTATGGTGGTTCAACGTAGTATTAAACAGAAGTCATGAATATGGTGTAAGTTTCAATTTTCTGTTTATAATCAGTAGATCTTTATTAAAGAAAAATCATTGAAATCCAAAAATTACTAAATAAAAGTAGAAAATCAGAAATGAAAAGCTTGGGCTCCAAAAACCTTGAAAATTAAAACGATTTATTTTAAAGAATTAATTTTTTTAATGGGAATTCACTAATCTTTTGTTCTTTGCAGGTTCTGCCCTATTTCTGGTATTTTTATTCCGCAATTCCACGAGCAATTATTGCTTCAACTCCTCTTGTACCTTTGGGCATGTGGATTGGTAAGATTCAAAAATTTTTTCATTCTTCATCTATATCAGAAACTAAGTCAAAATCAGGTTGAAACCTCCAACAAGCATTTGATAGTTCAAAATTCGTCGACAAATACGAACATGAAATAGTTTGTCAATTGCATGCATTGATATTCAGCATATTGAACTTGCTATCAAAACGAATGGATTTTTACTGTTTTCAGATCGTCGTTTACTGCCTATTCTAATACCTGTTATATGCTACATCTTGTTATATTCTTTCCTTCCTCATAAAGAACTTCGATTTATCATTTACGCATTACCGTTTTTGAATATTTCATCAGCAGTGCTCTGTGCAAGAATGTGAATTATTTAATTTCTAAATTACAAAAAAAATTCATTGATCTTTTTTTTCTTGTTTAGAAATAAAAATGTTAGAAGAAATAGTGAAAAAATTTTCTAACTGTTTTGAAATAAGGGAAGTCAATGATATACATTTAAAAAAACATAATTCTTTTCATAAACATGAAAGGTTTTGTTAATCACTCTCATTAATTTTCCATAAATTTTATTGTGGATATGTTTTTCTGTTTTTTATTTGGATCAATCGCTGGAAGTCGATATTCTCTATGTTAATGGCTGTTGGAATAATACTACATTTGATCGTGAATGTTATCGGTACTTCCATCTTTCTACTTGCGAGTTCTAAAAATTATCCTGGTGCTGAAGCACTTACTTCTCTTCAGGTACTGTTTCTTAGAATTCCTTAATGCATTTATATTGAGTTCGAGAGCCTTATTTTTTACCCGATAATAGCGGACATCAGCTGCTGCTAAATAAGGAATAATATAAATTAAAATAATTACAAACTCACGTCGCATATAATGTAAAGGTTGTAGGATCAGGATATTAAAAGAGACCTCGTTACTGAAAAAATGACAACATAAGTGGAAGAAAGTTTTATGGAAAATTTTTTTGAAAAGGGTTTTTTCAGTATTTACGGCATATCAATCGAAATAAACATATTACCGTTTATGTCGATAGTTATGCTGCTCAAACCGGTATCAGTCGATTTTTGCAGTGGTATGATGCTTGGGAGTAAGTAAAGAAATGTATTGAAACTTGCTAATATCGAAATGTATATTAAGAAGTTGGATTATGGGGAGAGAAAATCAATCTAATACACAAAATTCAAAACAATTGTTACGAGTTCGCATGTTTCTGCAACATAAAAATAGTGAATTTAAGTTTAAACAATTTTGAGGTAACTCTCTCCCTTCTCTCTTTCTATGTTTCAAAAAATTAAGGTGGATAGTGAAACTTTATGTGTTTTCGTAAAATTTTGAAATCAGGTTTAAATAATAAAATATAAAATGATTTTAAGATAGCTGTGAATACATAGGTACAATAAAACCGAAAATTTGGGATCATCGCAACTTGCGCAATTCGACTATATATTGATTGGTTCATACACGGAACCTAATATCGTCAGCTTTGCTGCGCGAAATTTCTCTTCTACTCATCATATTTTATATGATGTTAAAGCATTCCAGTATTTTTTTTCTCATCTCTATTAATTTATCGCTTAAGATTCTAATTATTCAAATTTTGAAGTTTTGGTAGTAAATTTAACTGTTTATTATATTTCATTGATTTTTAGATTTTCCAAACTGTGTCAGTAATTTGCGGCAGCATATCCAAAACTCTGAAAAAATTTTTAATGCTTTAAAAAAGTTATTAAATAAAACCACTTTTTCAGAGGAATTGAATTTGGAAGAATGCTTCAGTTCCCATACTATTGGCCTACCATGAAGTTCAATTCACAGTTAGTGGTATTAGAGAAATTGCGTTACTCTGATTCAGTTTGAACCGTTCTAGTTTCAAATGTTGTTTCTTAAGTTGTTTGAAATTTTATGAATAACTATTTTATTCTGATTTTGTTCATATATAATGTATTTTTCGGTATAACTTTTAGCGAATGTTTTCTTCTATTTTAGTAATCTCAGCATAAAACTTTTTAATATTGTTCGTATCTGGTTTTTTTACAGATAGGAAGCCAAATTAAGACAGAACTGAAACAGGAAGGGCTCGGAAAAAAAGGCCGAGAAAGCAGATCTTGAAGTTTAGCAACTAAAAAGCCTCGTAAGATAACATTCTTTCAAATGTTTAAAGAAATTCTTTGCTTAACATTTCATATCTGTTAAATTGCTGCTTTTTAAACCATTGCCTGTTTGTTCAAGTCATTTACTTTACTGCAAGTCATAAATTTAAATTAAAATCCTACGAGTCATTTGCTATTCAGCACAAATTCTATTGTTTCCTGAATCTAATTGCAATTTCATTTGTTAACTTAAATTTATATGGTGAAAAAAGTTGGCGATTTTGGAACATCAGCTGCGCTTTCTATTTGTACTATTCTTTCTTTTATATCCAAAAAGAAAAATTTCTCGGAAGCAATTCAACTTAAAACTGATTGCTGATATCATGATATCATTTGCTGATATCATTTGTCAGTGATATCATTTGCTACTTCGGAATCCTGTTGAGTGAAAGCAATAGTTATTAATCGAGCGAATTTAAAGGTTTAAATATTTTGTCTTTATCGGAATGTTCGAAATAAATTAAGAGTAAAGTAGAAAAGTGCAGTCGTACCGAGTAATGAATCTTTGTTTCTATATATAACATCAACTAAAATTTTCAAACAGTTTCGATCCATTTATCTATCATCTCTCATCCGTATTCCTGAATACAACAATTTCTAAAGTGTTAAAATTTTTGAATGTGCTGCAAATATTAAGTACAAGAGAATCTTTCCACTCCTTGCAAACATCAATATATATCGAAATTTGAAAATACATTCCATCTCTGATTAGTAAGTGATAATAGACAATTCGGAAATTTTCATGGCATTTCTCTGATTTCATTAGGTTAATAATAACTGTAGAAGTAGGTAGTTCAAGAAGTGACACTTACTTCATATGAGTGAACAGCGGAAAGCTATTATGGAATTTTTTCATCGATTTTGATTTTCATAAAATTGCTTCAAAAGCGATTTCCCTTGAGTATCACCAGTGTATGTATCGACTTGAGCATGTGATCACTTTTGCGTGCTATTGAGATTCACATTTAAAATGAATTCTTTTTTGTATATCAGATATATCCAATTTTTTTTTTTGAAGTAGATTTTCAACAAAAATCTATGCGAGCAATCAATTCTTGAAATTTCAATTCTAAGATTTTCACTGCAAAAAATTCAGATTATTGAATTGCCAAGGAAAATTCATGTATATGATAGGGTAGTAACAGAATAGTATCAATTATTCCACACAGACATAAAATAACATTAGATTGGGATAAAAGATTGCACCACTAAAAATATATTGTCGAAATAAAGCCTAAATTAGTGCCTGAAATTGTCATTGCTCGTTGTGATATTTCATTACTGATAAGCGAATGCTCAAAAGCAATCGCTCTTTTCATTTTTGATTATTTCTTGCCTTTTTTTTTCGAAATTTTAGAATAAAATTAACCGGGAAACTGATAAATCATTAGAGAATTATGATACATTAGGTATCTTTGAGAAATAAGTTAAATGTATCGGAAGTTCAAAAGTAAGTCTTTTCGATATCTTTGCACATTCAATAAAATGTTACGACTAAATATATATATGAAATATCTCGAAAACCTCAAACCATACATTTAATTCTAATTGAGAATTAAAGATCACAAATATAATTCCACTTTTCATAGATAATGAGAAATGACAATTTTATTTCTAAATTTATTCTTAATCTAATTTACGTCTGATGATCACCAACTAAATCATTTGGACGTCACACAAATACGCTCAAATGTAATAGTGACAAGTGTTGTAAGCTAATTAAGCTAATTAACTATTATCAACAATTATCAATATTACCTTTTTTTCTGCTAGTTTCACTCTTTACTTTCAGCTTAATTTTAAGCCCTCTTTTTCAGATGCATCTTAGAAAAGGCTAATAATTTGAATATAAAAGAAGTGGAAATAATGGTTGGCCACCTGAATTAGACAGGAAAAAGAAAATGTTTCGAACTAAATAGTATGAGTGAATGAAGCTAATTTATAATTTATTTGTTAAGCTTTTGGAACAAAATGGTCATCAATTGGACTGAAGATGCTACTAGTTGAAAGAAGATTAGAAAATATTCGGAAAAGTTCGTGACAATCCATATCTTAAGCAAACAATATCCGGAATTATTTTTCTATTATTAATGAGAGATTTTAAAAATGTGAAAATGTGAAAACATTTAGTTGCAGAAAGTAGTTATTCATCTGTTTTGACAAAATGGACCAGAAAGTGGAAATTCTTCATTGTCCACACTGATGTGTTCTTGTTTACAATTCGTCGATGTCTTTACCTGTTTATTTGCATTTCCAACTTTGTTCACAATAGTCATTAGCTTAGAGAATAACGATATTTTTAGAGTAGAGCGATTAATTGATCAAATTATCATTGACCTGCATTGTAACCTTGCTCTCCTTCCTATCTTATCATATATATACGACGCACAATCTCCCATTTTGACCTTAACAAATTTAAATTTATCATCTCAAACGAGAATTTCACTTTTGCTTGTTGCTATTTCATTCATAATAGTATTGGCCTAATTAAAAAACAATAACAGTATATAGTTTAGCCAAAGAAAAAAAGAAATGTTTTCTTTAAAATGTATCTCTCAGAGCTGATAGCTTTGAAAAGCAAAGAGTGTTAGTGACTGGAAGATATTAGATCGTCTATTGTCTTGTAATAATAATTTTGTACAATAAGTAATTGAAGCTGGTTCGTTAAAACTGGTTTGTTCAAGTGTGCCAATCACAAATTGATAATGTTATGGTTAAAGAATTAATGCTGTGTGCTCATTTTCCTCCTAAACATTATCTTTAAGAATATCAATTAGAAGAAAAATTCCCACCAAGAAATTTATAAACGCAATTAATGAGAATATATTTTCCTCTAGCATAAATTTTAATTTCAGTTATCAATTTAATTATTTCTATGCGCCATTTTTGATTGAATGATTGTTGAATCATTCTAAAGTTCGATTACGAATTATTAATTACGTTATCACTTATTAACTCATCCAATTACTAAAAGTGTAATCAGCAGTTAATTATAACGAACTATAAGATTGATCATACTCTCAACTTGCACTTATTGCTCAAAAATTATTCCCGATCTGCGCTGCATAACTTTTTGCGCTATTGGCGCTCATTGTGTTTTAACAAAAGAGAAATAAATGATGAAACTGTCCACTTCAGCTTTCTATATCTTTGCGATTTAATCGTTATCGAAGGATCAGTCTATGTCTGTAACATCATATATCGACCTTAATGGAAAATGGTAAATTTTTTTCGTAATTTTTTCCAATTTCATCTATTTCTTTTACTGACCAAACTTAAAATAACTTTATAGTATAATTCAAATCTAAGATTAGTTTCGAACTGCTTGAAAATAGCTACTCGAAAATATAGAATTATTTTAATTCATACTAATCAAAATCTAAGATTCATTTTGCTATCATTTTATTGTTTATCATTTTCTCCGTTATTTACTAAATTCCATAATGTCATTAAATGATCGTTCACAATATCATAATGTAGAAAAAATTTACACAATCTAGAAAGCTCTCAATTTCTATCAAATTTATTTTTAAATTTAAAAAATTTTAATTTAAAAATTTTAAATTTAAAAATTAGTTTTTAAATTTTTAAATTTAAAGTTTTTAAATTAATTAAATTAGTTTTAAAAAATTTAAATTTAAAAATTAGTTTTTAAATTTAAAAAGAAATTTTTTTATTGGACAAATGTGAAGTAAGCCAATTATCGGAGGCTAAATAGAAATGAGCAATTAAGCTAGAATACATTTGTAGCTGAAGAGATCAAAAGAATGAAAGCGTCTCATTCATTTCAGTGCAAAAGAAAAACGTCCTAAAGCGTATAAAATTTGAAATTTAAAAACTGTTTTACAAATGTTAGATGAAATTTCTCAAAGCTAATCGAAGAAAGTTTATTTCTTTTAGTGATATTAACAAAAGTAATTAATTCATTGAATCGAAAATCCTTTCAACTCAATCTAGATTATATAAAAATTGTTTTTCTTCTTTGTTCACCTGTGCAAGAAGCTCACACCTTCAAATTATTGATTGACTACAAATTAAAATAATGCAAATTTATTTCTTACATTCTGAGTACACTCTGATTGTATCAGTTAATTTGTATATGAAAACTATAAAATAATTTGGAAAATAATTTATTCATTTCTTTATTTATAAAACATTAAGCATATTTCTAACAATATTTCATTGGTTAATGAAATATTTTCCTTATTCATTATTTATTTTCATAATTTATTGCAATTTTTACTGCAAGCTATTAATGCTTGAAAATAAATCAAAAATTGACAAATAATGTAGTAAAAAGTTTTAAATCAAATGATAGAAAGGTTAAAGGTTATAAAGGGGGTTATTATTGATAACAAATAACTATCAACAATATCTTTTATATACTTAATATTTATGGGAAGTATCTTAATTTATTGTCAACTTCAAATCATATTTTATTATTACAATTCCTAGCAAATCATTTCTAAATTCTTAAGTAAATCTCCTATTTACGTATCATAAATTTTTGCCTGTCTAATATGAAATTATAATTCTTCACATAAATTTATGGAAGAATTTTTTATCATTCATTTCATTCAATACTTTCTCATTTTTCCTATCATTTCCTTTTTTTTAGGATGCATTTTTAAATAGTCCATTGAAGAGAATTTGATAAACAAATAAGGCTATCATTGAAACTAAAGTAATATATCATTGATAGATGATAATCCGATCTCCTAAATCATGAAGAATAAAATCTCAATTTTAAACAAATATATTTTATTACTTTATTAGCTAAGTTTCGATTTAATCTTTGACCAATAGAAAGTATAAAAATTTTTGAATAAACAAAACTGAGAAGCAAACATCTGAGAATATCTCATTCGAATAATATAACAACATTCATAGAATGTTTTCTGAATTGCTGACATGTTTTTCCCCCAAATAACTTATGAATCATTTTTTTTCGCTCTATCGGAACACAAATAACAATTACTTCCAGAATTTCGAAATAGCATTTTTGAATGATATCCGGAATTTATTTCATATATTTCAGCTTTTGAACAAATTGATTGATGTTAGTTTAACCCAATATATCGCAGATATTTTTTTCTACTTTCACTCTTGCAAATATTCCAAATTATTGGCCACCAATTTTTTCTCTTCCAAATATTTGGCCCTTAAAAATTGAGCCAAAAGTTTTTTTCGAAAATGTACTATTTCGATATTTTCATGCAAAATGATAAAGTTGAAGCATTTTTAAAGGAAATGAAATTATAATTTTTCTACATACTATATATATTCACAAAATATTTGTTTTATTCCTAAAAAATGCTGCTTACTTTATCAAGCTTATTTAGCTTATTTAATACTTTATCAAGCTTCCGAGTTTACTTCAAATTTAAGTTCATTGACTTAGCTTAAATGAAAAGCAATGTTAGATAATAGCCTTCAATTAGCTAATAGTTCATTAATTAATCTTATGTATTTGTTTCTAATTAACTTAGAAGGTGGAATTTCATCTATTCTGCCTTAAATAACATTTACTTCTTCATTTCACATGGGAATGATTTAGACTTCAGTTAGCTAATAGCTCATTAATTAATTTTATATATTACTTGTTTCCAATTAACTTAGAAAGTGAAATTTCATTTATGCTGCCGTAAATCAACATTTATTTCTTCATTTCACATGGGAATGATTAAAGCGTTTGCATTTGATTTCATCTTTCATCGATCAAATCATAAATTACTGTCACAAAATCACTTATTAACATCTTTACCATACATTTATTATTGCAAAAAGAAATTGTAAATTCTATTGCATTCACAAAATTAAGAGATTTTAGATTCCAGCTGATCATGAAAAGGTCGACCACTGAAATGAAATTGAAATTTAACCTATCATTATTTTTAGTAATTTAATTAAAGTTCTAAATATTAATTGAAATTAAATTCAAATTAATTTATCTTATTTATATTTAATTTCTTTTCAAATTATGCCGCTCTTTCTGACAAAAGAAAAGCCATGCAATTGAACAAACAGTTCGAGAATTTTGAAATGAAAATGAAAAATATAATTGAACTTTTTTTCCAATGAATAATGCCATAATACTATATATTATGAATGCTGTCAGGAAAACTAAAATGCTAAGTCAAAGTCTACTTTTGTAAGATAAGAGATACTTGAAAGGGATTTTCAAACACTTTTCAAGTTATGTTAATAAGTGTATAAGATAGAAAGAGTAATTTAAGGCTTTTTCAAAATTCTCATCAAATTTATTTATCCATCTATCTTTCACTCATAAAGTTGGTAACTTTTTGAATTTTATCATTTTACCTCTCTTTTTTTCACTTTTCAACTTTTCACTAAAATTTCACATTTCATTCTTTTCTCTTACATCTTTTTTCCTTAAATTATTTTCAAACTTTTTTTCAACTAAATTTTTTTACATTCTTCTTGAAAAATATATATTAATATCTTTTGTTTTATGAATAGATCCAATCATTTTCATTGATAATAGGAAATGTGGTAAGGAAGGTTTTGCAAAAATTGCAGCATTTCTATCGAAACCACTAACTAACAAATCTTTCAGCACCTCGAAAAACCTTCTAATGCTTGTTTACAGCATTTTGTTTCTATAACGCTATTTCAAATTCTTTGCATCAATTAGTCAAACTTTTGCACATCTTTTTTTAGTCTTAAAATAAAATCCTTAAATTTTACACATTTTCCAAGCACAGCTGCTATGCTAACAACGACAAAAGTTAGTTCAATTTGTCAGTTGTGCATTTTCCTTTTATTTTTTTTAACTTTTTCAGATGATTGGATTACATATCTTTTCTCTTTCTTTTGTAATAAAAGTAATTATCAGTTTTTTTCGAATTCTATCTGCCAAATTCAGACTTAAAATCTTCATTTGCTGTCACTTACTTTCTAATCTTATCATTTTATCACTTTATCTTAACATTGATAGAGTGTAAATGTTGATTATCCCGAAGTTGTCAGCTTAGAAATCAATTTCCATAAACAATTTAAACATTCGAATAAATTCGTGTTGAAAATGAAAATTCAACGTCTTAAATAAGCAATCATTTCATTTGTATTTCATATTGCCAAGAAAGTGATCCATAATTTACTTACAAAATTTTAATACAAATCTTTGATATTATTCATTTTCATAATTAATTGCAATAACTGGCGTTACTATAATATTTCTAATTTTGAGTAATGAAAAACAAAAAGTAAATAATAAAGTTTTTGGATTCTTTACTTATAGAATACACACGCTTTAAAAGCTTAAAATTATATAAAGAATTCCTTAAATTTGGAAATACTCTACAATTGAATCGTTTTTTTCAAGCATATTTGAAATTCATTAAATTTAAAATCTAATTAAAGCTTATTGATTATTTAAATGAGTAAATAAACATATCAAAATTGCATATATAACATATATGATGGGTATAAAGCCATATTTTTCGTATCATATTTCATAATTTGCAATTTTAAAATTCATTCCCTCATTGAAGAAAATATTTTGGTAAGTCTTAAAAATTTTTCAGGTGGTTAACAAAATCATCTTGGAGAATTTAAATCTATCCTGGAAAAAGTCACAGAAATTTTTCTTTTCCAAGTATAGTAATTTCAAAACTAATTGACAATTGTGAAAGATATTGATTTATCATATTGAATTAAATCTTCCTGTCAATTATTCACTCTGACAATTATATCAATTTTAAAATTGAAATTTTTAATATAGTTGTGTGTTTTTGATTTCATTCATACTATACATCTTTTTACTAATTTCTGTAACAAATATGTTAGCTGCAAAGTTAAATGTTTTTAACAATATTTTTTAATATATTTTATGCATTTTGAAATTATGCAATTTAAACGAAATTTTGATAAATGCCTAAAATACAGGTCAGATCGCATGACATTAATACTTATTGTCCCATCAATAATATACGACAAGGAGAATCTGAATTCATCATTCTATCATCAAGTTGATATTATCAATATTATCAAGCAATAATAATGGCGACAAAATGGAAAGATCAGTATGACAAGCAAATATTTGCATATCATTAGATACATTGCTGAATTGCATAAATTATCATCGCTTTATATGCCGCGATGAAAAATTTCAATCAAAATGGCAGCATATGGAATAGTCGCAAATCATCAAAGTGCTCACAGTTCAAATTTTTTTAAACAATAAATCAAAAAAATCTTTTCCAATGTTTTGAAAAATGGTAGGGAGCGTAGTTTATTGCCAAAATATTTTTGATTAAAAATTGTCACCTGATAAATATACTAATTAGTATACTTATTGAATAATTAATTTCGTCGCAATATGAAGAGAACCGTTCATCAGAAAAAAATTCCAATTTTTAAAATTATAATTTAAAGAAAATTTCAAATTTTTATGAAATATCTATTTGCTAAAATAATTTCTTAAAAATTGTAACATTTCTAAATTTATATTAATTTATTTATAATTTCAGGCGATGTGCATTTGGTTTTACATATCTTGAAATTGGACTTCTTGTGCTTTCATCTCTTTTATTGTTGTTATTAATTGGTATCTCAGCATTATGGTTTTTCGTATATCAAGGTTTGCAATGAATTGAATAAATTTTAATAACAAATTAAATTTATACTAAAACTCTTTGACGATATAACGTGTGATACTTAACTTGATCTATAATTTTGCATGTAATATATTTGGAAAACAATGCTCTGGGAATGAATCTATATCTAAAATATGAATAATTGAATAATTAAAATTATCTAGTTGATTAATATTTAGCAACGTGGAAGAGATCTTTTAGGTTCTTTATCATTTCCAAGTAATGTAAAACGTGAACTATTCGAAGAAGCTAATATGCTATCAGTTGGTATTGATGAAAGCGCATTATATCACAATGGTTATGTATGCACTTCTAAAGAATGTGCGCAGATTTCTGGCTTCTTTGCCAATAATCTTAATGATAAGATAAGCTCTTTTATTTTCCTAAGTCTCTCAATTCCTCATTATCAGTATCAGTAATAAATAGCCATACAATGGTATTAAATATGGATAGAATAAAAAATGCAAGAAGCTAATAATGTTAAGTTTTATCAAATCATAACTTAAACAAAAAGTTACCGTTCTTAGTTACTAATCGATAATAATTTAATATCATTCTATTAAATACCTTTCATAAAACTTTCCCAATTTAATTTCATATGAACTTTAGAATCTCTTCATATTTAATCAATAAATTTCTTTTTACTAAAAAAGGATGTGAAAAATCTTCGCCTTTTCAATTGTTTTGCATTTATACGTAAAATACGAAGAAATTTTTATAAATTAGAATTTGAAAAAAAATTTCGTAAAAATTTTGCATTTAATTTTTTTGTTTTATTAGTGTGTAAGAAAAAATTTCTAATTATTACATTTGGAGAAGCATAAAAATTTCTTCTAATTATCACTAATTATCGTTAGTGCCAATTTATCCGACGTAATGAATCAGAATAAAACCCATTATGCTTTCACATACATTAAAATCTATCGATCAAATTTTATTACTTTTAATTAAACAATCATTAATGTAAAACTTCGAATATTGTTTGAATAAAAATTTTGATTTTTTAAGAAATATCAGAATAAAAACTCTAGCTAACAAATAAATTGAAATTTAAAATATTTGCCTAAAAATGGTTGCAATTCCAGACGATATTTCATTATCAGAAAAAAGCGAAATAAATAGATGTAAACCGATCTTACGTTTGATTCCTTTTTAGGTTGACCCTTGTAATGACTTCTATGAATATGCATGTGGTAATTACCCAATCAATCGACATTTACCACCTAATAAAGCTGTTCGACATACCTTAAGCGATATGCAAAATCGTCTAAACAAGCAAATCAGAGAGCTATTAAGGGTTCGAAATTCAATTTTGCTTGCAATTTTTTTTGCCTGCAATTAGAAGTAATCAGAAATATTATTGATTTTTCATATCCAAAATGATTGTAAATCCTTTTCAAGGCTCCAGTAACCGATGATGATAAACCGTGGAATCGTCTTGCAAAGCAATATTATCAGAAATGTCTTAATGAAGGTTTGATATAGTAAAATTTTGAGAAAACGATTATATGATGTAAGCAAAGAGATTGGATTAGAAATTTAAATTTAAAAAATATATTAAATTGAATATTGCAAAGTGAAATTCACAAATTTTGAATTAGACATATCTCAAAATTCATAGGTGGAAAATATTTTTTATCAAATAAATTTATTTTTGGTTGAATGTGGGATGTAAAATCGTTTGTAAATAAAATATCATTTGGGAATGGTAGTTGTATAAGTCAAATTTAATATTGAAATTTTGCATGGAAAGAATTTTTGCGGAAGAATTTTTTTCAGAACGGTTATTTTCAGAAGAATTAAAAGCTACGGGTGTTTCATCGATGCTGAAATTGCTTCGGGATTTAGGTGGATGGCCAGTTGTAGAAGGTCGAACTTGGAAACCCTGGAATAATGGCTGGGAAAAGCAATTGGCACATATTATGAATAGAGCAGGTGTCAATGCGATTATTCTGGAACTGGGTGTAACACATGATCCAATAAATAGTTCCAGGTTTATTATTGAGGTAAATTCATTATGCGTTTTAAACAGAACTAAAAATTTTGAGGATTTTAGGACAATTAAAGAAATTTTTCTTGATAAGTAGTAGATAATTAAATTTTCATGAATAATTTAAATTTAATAACTCATTGCAAGCAAGTACAAAGGAATAATTTCTATTGTTTTGCTATCAATTTTTCCTCAGACAATTAAACGTCCTAAATTCGAATCATTTCATCAACATGTCACGCTATCTTCGGCATTCTCGAGTGCCAACATAGAGGCTGAAAGATAGATAAGTGCACATATGAATGGATAGCTTTTACAATTCAAATTCCGAATACTTAATATTCCTGAAATATAACAAACAACAAGATTTTTTTCTTTCCTTTTTTTTGCTTACAGATCGATCAGCCAAAATGGGGAGTGGGCTCGAGATGGCCATATCTAGCAGGAATCCATGGTCATGCCATCCAGAATTATGTATCATTAATGATACAGACAGCTGTTAATATAGGTATTGGCTTTTAATAGAGGAATTTAAAATGAAATAAATTCCGGAAAGAAGCATACAAGGGATTGATGAATAGCTAAATGAAAGTAAATTAAATTTCAATTTTTAGGAGCTGATCTAATGTATGCCAAACATGACATGATAAAAGCAGTTGAATTTGAATTACAATTAGTGAATTTCTCGACCGACGAAATGATTCGACGTAATCCGGAACGTAGTAATAATCGATTTCAGCTCTGGCAATTAAGCAACCTCTTTCCACACGTAAATTTTACTAATATTTTTTATACAGTAGAAATTGAGCAATAAGTATTTAATGCCGATATAAACTTCAAACTTTCATCTGTAAATTTCTTATTAAACATTTTATTCTGATAAGAATATATTGGCATTGTGATATAATCCTAAAAAAAATCATAAGTTAAATGAAATGGAGAAGTAAATACCAACTTTCAGATCGATCTAGTAACATATATCTATACGATATTCAATGATTTAGAGAAGATTAGTCCAAACGATACAGTAGTCATACATGAACCGGAATATCTCCGTCGAATTCAGGTATATTGCAATCGTTGCATCATCTTTATTATACAATTTTTCCATTTATATACAAGACAAAGTTTAATTTATGCATTACTTTTGAGATTAGAGTGAAATTGAGAAATTTTAAATGAAAAGTGGGATAGTAACTGAATAATATTATAGGAAGTGATGCAACGATCCAATAAACGAACCATTGCTAATTATATGTTATGGCGAGTAATTCAGGGATATTCACCATTTCTGCCACCCGTAATGCGAGAACCATTTTATGCTTTTAAAGCTAATCAAACTGGCATTCCGAGTACTTCAGTTCCGGATAGGTTAGATTTGTTTATCCCGAAATAGCAAAGATCAACGAATCATTTTATGAACATATAATAAACGATTTATTATAAAATAGTTATTATAATCATTTTAGAGAATTTTACTATTCTAACTTTTAAAAATTTGAACCTCTAGTTTAATTCTTAATATAAAATTATTATGATTAAGTGATTATAATCAGTATTTTATATTGAATCGTTTAAGAATAAAAAATTGAGATAAATAAATTCGATGATATTTCAGATGGGAAGATTGCGTCTTTCTGGCAACAATAATAATCGATATGCCCGTTGGAAGGCTTTATGTTGCAAATCATTTTGACCATTTAAGAGCTATGAAAAAAGTTAATTTTTCAAAAATTTCGATTTTACTGCATTGAAACCTTTTAGTCTTTTAGTTGTTGAATTCAATTTTTCATATTGAAAATTTAATAGAAATAATTTAATTAAGGAAATTTGGGCCATTTATTAAAATGAAAATGAAAAGAATTATTTAATTTCATTTAGATGAATGATTTAACAAAGCATTTTAAAAATGAATTAATCAAGCAATTGAAAGCAGTCGATTGGATGGAGGAAGAAACACGACAACGAGCGATAATTAAAGCACAACGTATTAATTACAAAAGTGGATTTCCTCCTTATATCTTCAATGAAAGTTATATGGAGAAAAATTGGGATTTGGTAAATTTAATAAAATTCTCCTATTTATATTTTAAGTATCTTTTTATGCGTTCAAATTACTTTGAGAGTTAATTTTGATATACTTAATTTTTTGTATTCTGATTTTTTGAATGAATTTTTTTCAGCCTGAAACTACAAATAATGAATCACTGCTTGAATTTACGATACGTATAAAACGTGTACACATTAACAATGAGCTAATGCGATTGAAGAAAGTCGTGGATACATCAATTTGGATTCAAAGTCCAGCTCAAGTTGATGCCTATTATGTTCCAAATTTAAATGAAATGAGTTAGTTTTATCAATTCAAACTTATTGTAACATGATAAATAAATGAAATATGCATAATTTCTTATGAAAATTCTCGTAAGTTTTTACAATTTGCAGTATTTCCGGCTGGTATAATGCAATTTCCGTTTATGTCACCCGGTGTACCAAATTATATAACTTATGCGATGGTTGGCGCTGTTATTGGACATGAAGTGTCACATGCTTTCGATGATCAGGGTTTTGTCTAATAATTTACTACATATTATCCCTGCGTATAACTATCAAAATTAAAATTTCTCTCGTAGACTGCAATTATTTAACTAATTATTCAGGTGGCCGTTTTGATGAATACGGTAATTTACACAATTGGTGGGATGCAGAAACAGCACGTAAATTTTACGAGAAAACCGAGTGCTTCATTGAACAATATAATGAAGTGAAAGTGGATGAAGCTGGCATACATTTAAATGGACAATTATCGGTTGGAGAAAATATTGCTGATAATGCTGGCGTGAAGACAGCGCTAATTGTTTGTTATTCTTTTTAAATTATTATTTGATTGAATGGAATTAATTGCCTGAAATGAAAATGATTTCAAGTTGCATCGTTATTATTGCAATTTGATTTCTCTTTTTGAGGCCTATATGTCATGGGTTAAAGAAAACTTTCGACAAGAAGCAGCACTGCCAGGCTTTCAAAATATGACCAGTCTACAAATGTTTTTCATTGCTTATGCAAATGTAATTTTTAATTTATTATTTAAACTTTTACCTTCCACTTTTTATATATTTAATTTAAAGAATGAATAGAAATATTGTATTAGATTTTTCTCACTAATTAAACTTTTAAACAAATGTGATGATAAAGAATACCAGCCAAATTTTCGAGCTATCATATCTTTATATCGTATTGCTTATCTTATCAATAATGATTCAAAATTCATTTACTTATTGTGCTATAAGTTACAGAATTGGTGCTCATTGATAAAACCAAAGCATTACTTGCAAATTATAATGGGGGATGTGCATGCACCAAGCAAGTATCGTGCCATAATACCACTTCAGAATCGTCCTGAATTTTCGGAAGCATTCCATTGTCCCAAAGGTTCTCCAATGAATCCGGTGAAAAAATGTTCAATTTGGTGATATAATATTGATAATACAATTGAATTTCATTGATTCGATTTGAGCTTTGTTACATTCTTACTATTGCCATTACAGATTTTGGTTAGTTACATTTTTTTTAAAGTATTTCTATATTTCGTATACTTTTACATCTAATTTCAGCCATATTAATATGAAATATAAGAAGAGAATATCATCTTTAATATATGCAAAAATAAAAGCAGTAATTCTGCAATTTGAATTTAAAATTAAAATTTCTAGCATCATTGGTAATGAAAGAATTTTTTCTATCTCAGGTATGTATTATTGAAATTAAAATGTTATGTAATTACAATTACTATCTCATAACTTACTTTATTAATTACCTTTAATCATTGTATCATGCATTTTTTGTTGATCTCTTCTCATTCTTTTTCATATGTTAATTTATTTGGTTTGAATTTGATTTATTCATTCTTTTTAATTCATGAAATTTGGCATAAAACGATTATTTGGAATGGATAAAATTACTTTAAAAACAATTTTTCTAGATTTTATTCCCAAGCAAAAATTCTCAATAAATTTGAGAGGATCACTTTGATTAGTCACATTGAAACCAAAACAATGTCAACTTTTAGATATCAAAAATATCACACCATTTAATACAATGATAATAATTGATGATTATGAAAAAATTTAATCGAATTATGTTGCAACTTAATCGTATGGAAAAAAAAGAACTTTATGTTTTGTATTTTTCATTATATCACAACACTTATCATAATTTGATTTGTATTTTCTACATTGCTATCAAATTATGTCAAAATTATTTCTATGATTGAAAATTTTTTTATTGAATAAAATTTTGCTATCATTGCAATATTCATATAATAAAGGATTTTGAGATTTTTTAGTTTAATTAATAAATTTTATTGTAATATTTCTATAGTTTAATTAAAAATTTATTCCTATTTGGAAACTTAAATTTGCTTTGTTTTAATTTTTCTATCTTTCAGAACTAAAATATATTTCATAAGAATAGCTTCTTCTTTTTGCAACGATAAAAAGTACACATATTGTTTGCTTTCAAAGTTGAAAATCTAAAAAAAAATGAAATTTTAAACTTTTCCGAAAAATTTTCTTTCTTTTTCATTTTTTTGTTTTTGAAGAATAATTAGTGAGAAAGTCACAAAATTCTTATGAAAACAATACTTTGTTATCAATTTCAAAACAATAAATGAAATATATTTTTTAATTAAAATGAAATTGAATATTAATTAATATTGTTGCATAAAAAGTGTATGATACTTTTATATTTAATATTTCAAATACAAATTTTTTGAAATGACATCAATTTTCTTTCGTTATATTTTTGTTTCTTTATTTGCAGTAAAGTTAATAAAGTTTGAAATCATAGATCAGAATTTTGAAGTAAGTGAATTACATCGTTTTGAAGGAGCACCGTATGTCATGCATATAAATTTAATGAATATCCATTGAGTTATAGTAAATAGATTGCTTAGTTATGCAAAAAGAAAAATAAACAATTTTAAATAAGTAATTTATTATAAATTAGAATTTAAGTAATAATTTTCTTTTTAAAAAGTTGAAAATTTTTACTAGTGCAAAAAAGTTGAATCATTTTCATTGAACTGAGTCATTTCATTGCTTTATATTGTTTTACCAATTGATTAATATTTCATCGATTAATTGACAGATTGATAGATTATTTAAAATGTTTCCAACGTCTTAGATGGATAAAATTGTTGCATTAGCACAATCGTTGTGATATTTTCTCATTAACTATAAAAATTTTGTTATAAAAGCATTTTACTTTAATAAATAAAGGATGAAAGTGTATTCTCACGAAATTCATTTTCAATGTTTAAATAAAATTAAAGGAAAAAAGTTGAACTTCTGAAAGAGAGCCAATTTTTCATCGTACATATAATATGTACGACGTACCCATCTATCTTTTATTCAACATTTTCTTCCATTAAATTCTTTTTTTGAATGAAAAAGAGGAAGTGAAATGTTTCATTTATCGTTCTTTTTTATAACTATAAAAATAAGAAAGTTTGAAAATGAAGAAATTCCAAATATAAAATATTTGTAATTATTACCTGAAAAAATTTCACAATTTCTAAGCGATGTTTTTCACGAATTTCAGGCAATTGTTTTAACAAACATTCAGTCTGCAAATGTAGTATATACATTGTCTTGTTAGATTCTTAAAAATAGTAATGAAATTTAAACAGATGAAGATTAAAAAATCTTGATAAAAAAGTATTTATTATTTTTTGAGTTATTTTATTTGTTATGTAATTCTATAATTATCTTCATTTATCATGCTATTTTATTAATTATCTTATTAATTATTATTATTATTATTTGATTTGTTTCTTTTTAATTAAAGCAATTTTATCTTCATTTATCATGATATTTTATCAACTTTCTTATTAATTACTATTACTTATTATTATTCTCATTTGATTTGTTTCTTTTTAATTAAAGTAATTTATTCTTTTCTTTTTTATAGTTTTCAAAAAAAACAAGAAATATTAAATTTCTGAAAAATTTTCATACATTATACAACTGTTTCTGAAAGTTCTTAAGTGCATCAGCGTAAAGGGCATTGTTCACTTGAATTGTCTCAGGTGTTTTAGCACTTTTTAGTTCATACCTTGCAAAATCAAGCGCCTGACGAAATTTTTCCAATGCTAAAGAAAAGTAATCATTCATTCAAAGCAGCCAGCAATTTCGCCACTTCAAGTTGAAATGAATAGTTCAATTTTAGATTTAAATTTTTCCTTTTTGAATGTTATGATATAACTTGCCATTTCTTGCATCTCGAATATTTTCATAATCAACATTAATGAATGTTCGAATTCCATGTATTGCACGGCGACCTCTTCGTTGATATTCGCGTCGTAATGACGCAAGTTTATGTGCTGAAGTTTGAATTTGTTCAAGTTCCTGCAATTAATATTACATTTTAGTATTAGAAATTATTTAAGTTATATTTTAGCATTATAAATCATTAGGCGAAAAAAAATCAAATCCTTTTAATAACCTTTTTAATTCATATTTAATTAATAAAATAAAGTCAAATTTTAACTAACTAAAATTTAATATTAAATTTAGCCTTAACCTATATATTATATCATTTACCATGATAACCATAATAACCACGATTTTTTTAAAAAATAATATATAAATAGAAATATGACTTTTTTTGATTCCATTTGATCGTTTGTTATTTTAAGCGCAATTTCCAATAATTCAAAAGGATCTTCTTGTGATGGAGCTTCAACTTCCATTTTACCAGGCGGTTTTGGCACATAACGTGGATCTTGTTGAAGAGTTGAAATTAATTGTTGTGCTATATCTTCAACTATAACCTAAAATAATTTAATAATTTTTCGTTAATTTTATCAATTTTCTTTTTTTTCTTAAAACAACGAATTCCAAGGGAAAATTGAAAAATGCTGGGAAAGAATTGCACGCCTCACTACATCAATTATTAAAGTGACAGATTGATATCATTCTTCAATCCAATTCTCTCACTCTGTATTCGTCCATTTCTTTGCACATATCTTGAAAATATTTCTTATATTCTGTCTTTTCCGTACTACCAATCTTTTCACTAATTTTCATCAGTAATTTTCGAAAACAACCAGGTCGTTGATTTGACGTTACATTGCTACTATCTTGTTGTACCGTTGAATCTTTATTCACATTTAGCTGACTAAAAAAATTTTTACGTTTAATTTAAATTACAAAAGAAATTTTTAAATTTTGCAAATTAATAGATAATAATTTAACAAGCGGATACGATGATAATTTTTTCCACTTACCTATCGCTTTTTGTTATCGATGGTGCTGTCACTAATTTTTGCTGTCCTCTTAAATTAAGAAAATTTTGTTAAATTATCTTACTATTTTGGGTCTATAAAATAAATCCAATAATGCAAATTTATTTCTAAAAAAATTCCAAAAATTTAATAAATTAATTTTTTGAAGAAAATTTGGCTTTATGAATTTTTCGTGAATAATTTCTAAAAACGAAAGAAAAACTATCACAATTTTAGTTTTTAAATTAAATTTCAAACTGAATAATTTATTTTCAATTAGCGCTTTATTGTAGAAAATAATTCAATCCGCAGAAACAATAAGAAATTAGTTGAAAATTTTAGGTAATAATTTTAACTTTTTTTAAATTTCTCTAACAAGTTTGTTTTTAATCTCTCTAGACTTCCAACAAAATATTTATTGATAAGCTAATTATCATGCTGTTTATGTGCATTCCTTGAAATATATAATTAGCTTATATGCTATTATTTCAAATGTATGCTCATATCATTTGCCAATTTAATTTTTAATGACGCAATTTGGATACACCATGATATCCACTGTCTAACGAATTAATCTAATAAAATCTTAAGTTGTATTTCCCGACCGCTTGTCTGGCGTAGTCATTTCTCAATGTTATGCAATATAATAACACTAAATTTTTTGTGCAATTTTAACATTATTCGATTTTTTGCATATATATATTTTGTTTATTTAATTATATTTGTACAAAAAAAATGTTCAATTTTTTATTTTCTAGTTCATAAGGAAATTTTATCATTTAATATTTAAATTCTTTTCATACGGCAATTTGACAAAATAATGAAATAAAAATATGACTTATTTTGCTAATTGACATATTCATAACATTATAATAGTCGAATAATGGAATTTGCTAGAAAAATTAATTATTTTTTAAAAATTTTAATGCTGTATATTTGTTAATAAACTGAGCAAACTATTTTTACTGAAATATTTAAATGAATGATTTTTTTTAATATTTTTTCTATATTTATCAATTTAACTGATTCGATTTCCTTTTCCGTAAGATTAAACTTTAGTAAAAAATGATTTACATCAAAGTGATCAAATCTTTGTTTGTTTAACATAATATGATCAGTGTTATCTATTAATGAAATAAATTAAGGAATGGATTGATTTGAAATGGGAATGGATCACCGAAATAATTTCCAATCAAAATCTTAGGAACAAAAAAATATCGCCAACTGACAAAGTGACAAATTAAATTTATTATTAAATTAAAGAGTAATTTGAATGATAAAAAATAAAATTTCTAAAAATATAACAAGGTTTTTATGCGGTAAATGTTGTTTTGTTGCCATGGAAGTAATTATTTGCAAGAAAAGAATTAAACTTGAATTAAATCATTTTTGGGCTTAATTTTTTGCTGCTATCCTTCTTACTTTTCTAACTGAACGATCCTCATTTAATTTGTCAGCAAATATTTCAAGCAATTGGATCTGATAAAATAATCACTTATCAGTAAGCTGTAATTATCAATTATCGTAATTTTCCTTTTTATGCAAAACTTTCAAGAAAAAAATTTTAGAAAATTTTTGATAAAAAAATCAGAAAGAAAAGTTTTCATTGAAATATTGTTAACTTTTATTATTACATAAAAAACTTTTAATAAATGTTTGGAGAAATAGGTACCGTAGAAGTTTGATTTCATTTATTTCATAGATAATGAATTTTTTATAACTATGCTTTTCGGATAACAGGTGTTTATTAGCTTTTAGCAATCAAAGATTTTTATTTTTCATTTCAATTTTCCAAATAATCCAGTAACATATTGTACTGACTTCTGAATAACTACCGTAGTCTGATAAGCAATTTCATTTTCATTTTACTTTTAATAAGCATATCAATTATCTATTCCATTTAAGCATTTAAATTAACAATTTTTTTTTAAATCTCACTATGCTATATCTCATTTTAATCTTTTTCAAAATTTTAAGTTAATTCTTTCTGATATAAAAGAAGAAACACTTCCTCTAATGCATCCTCTCTTCACTTCTTTTATTGCTAATCATTTTCTTCTTGCAACAAAATATCCTAAATAAAATTAAAACTAATTTGAATTCATTCATGAAAAATCTTTAAACCGGAATATTCACCACCAGTTTCTGATTCCGCAACGTAACATTTTTATTTTTCAGGAATGAATCATTCACGACATCTTCATATATTACGGTGGTGTTAAATAGCATTGAACAAATGATTCCAGCTAGCCGAAACGAAGAAATTTACGCTGCTGTGATCTGTTTTACGGTTTCTATTGCTAACTAATTTAAAATGAACAAAATAGCGGTAAAATTAAAAAAAAAAATTATACAACAATGAAATCGAATCTGACCTAACAATAGCAACAGACTTACGTGTAAACTTACGTGTATTTTCTCTCAACATTTTTATTCTTTTTCTTGCTATCGATGAAGTAAGTTCAAAGTAAATAAGAGTTGTACAATATTTGCAGCTCTCAGTATTGGGCATCATAACAAACGGTATTGCAGTTGCAGTTATTGCATCTGAGAAACATTTGAAAAATGCTTTTGGTTATTCCTGCATGTCGCATGCTATTGGTAGCCTTGGTGTATTGGTAATTTTCGTCACATGGGTACCAATTCAATTTATTTTGTAAGCTATCTTTATCCAATTGTGCATTTTTCATTTCCTTCCCAAGTGATATCTTTTCAAAATAATAAAATAATGATAGTAGCAAAAGTAGGAAAAATCTTTCTGAGCGCATATTTCCTTATCATTTTGCGCCACTTCTACTATCATCTTTGAATGAGCCAAATTTTTGCAAAAATTTTTTCATATAAAGAAGAATATGCTAATTTCATTTCAGAAATTATAGTTTCATTTCATAGGATAAATTATCATCTTAGATATTTGTTAATCGGAATGATAAGAAGAAAAGGAAAGAATAGCATGAAATACATATCTAAATATAATTTCAAAATAAATAATTAAAAGTGATAGACAGTTTTTAAATACAAAACATGCAAAAAATAGTCCGCTGAAAATTCTCAGTATTTTAAATTTTTTTAATGATAGATTTACAACAGAGATACTAACTAACATTTTCAGATAAGAATATGATAATTTAATAATTTTGTGATAATTTTGTTACGAGCTTTTCTTTAGCCAATTTTAAATTGTTTTTGAAATTTATTAAAACTTTTTGAAATAATAAATTTTCGTGGGAAATTTTTTTAGTTTTTATTACAATAAAATGGAAACTTATTGAGTGGGAAATTTTTGTTTGCTATAAATTCTACGGTGCCTAAATTATCTTTAATGATTTTCGTTTCAACATTTTTTACAAATTGAAATCATTTTGTTTTCATATGGTAAATGCGTATGTTTAAATAGCATTCAATTTTTTTCCTTTTTAAGATTTTTTTATCATTTTGAAATGGTAAAACTTTGAAAGCATACTGTTTAAACATCCGCATACCTACTGTACTTAGTACCTTACTGATACAGCAAGCTTACTGATGCAGCTTACTGGATATAGCAAATATATTGTAGCTTACTGATACAGCAAATATATTTCGTTGTCAGTTAATTCATAGGATTTTTGTCGGAAATACCATTGGTTGCCAATTTCTAAGCTTCAACTAAACAAAATTATTATGCAAAAAAAATCAAATAAATTAAGAATTGCATAAAATATTCCACTGTTATAAGATTTGAAATATATGAAAAATAAGCTTCGAAAAGGTCAGAGGGTAAATAAAAATTATGGTAATTGCAAATTGCGTCATCTTTTAAAATAAATAATGTAATTTATAACTGATGAAGTACTTATTTTGACTGTTTAGAAATATTCATTAATAAGTTAATTAATGCATTTCAAAGAATTTGTATAAAAATATTATTATAATGTAATGATGTAACATTATTTTTATTATGCAATTTTTTTTATATGCATCACATGCATATAAAAAAAATTGCATAATAAAAATAATAAAATTATCATTAGCTATGATAATTAGCTTATCAAATAATTGATATTTTGCAGGAGTTAGTTTGTTAGAAGAATTAAAACATTATTTATTAAAATGTAGTTTGTTAGAAGGATTAAAACATTATTTATTATGATTTAAATTGAGAGAAAGTAGACCTAACCTGTTAATTTATGCATAAGTAAACATAAGGTATGTAATAATTAATGATAATAAATGCCTTCGATGATATATTTTGCTTTATCAAGATAAAATGATATTTTATAATTTTGTAAAAAATAATTGATTAATACATTATTTTTTATTATTGTTCATATAAAAAAGATAAATGATAAGCATTAATAATTAATCTAAAAATATGCTATCATATATCTCAACAATTAACTACTATATCTTAATTTAAAAAAAATGAAAATTTAGAGTTCCGGATATTATGCTCGGGATTTTCCATAATGAACAATAGCATATAAGTTGACTAAACAGGCGATTTTATTTTACTATGAAAATTTAGAGTTCCGGATATTATGCTCTGGATTTTCAATAATAAACGGATAGCATATATAGTTGGCCAAATAACGATTTTATTTTATTATGGTGCAATTTACACACATATATTAATTGGCTTAAATCGTTATATTGCTCTTGCAAAACCATTCTCATACGGGACATATTTCAATGAACGTAAAACAGTACAATGGATTACGATAATTTGGATCATTTCTTTCATGCAAAGTTGCGTTTATCAATTTGGTAAATTTTTCATTTTCCTTCAAAATAATCTTCTACAATTTAATTTGTAAACAACAGTTTTAAAAAGTGAAAAAATTTCGATTAACATGAAAAGCTAAAAAATTTGTTAATTAATTACCTTTTGAAAATTCCGAAGATATAATATAATTAATATTATTTCAGATGGCTGCCACTACTATTTTGATCGTGCTGCAATGTTATTTATTTATTCTGATGCGCTTTGCGCTCAAATCATATCTCTTTATTGCGAATTTTACGTAAATTTGGCATTTGTGATATTTATCGTATTACTCGATGTTATGACATTTTATAAACTAAAAATGATGGCTAAGGTTTTTACTTTTTTAAACGAAAATATATAATTTAATGAAAATTCATTATCATTCATTAATTATTGTCACTTAATTGTCTCTGAAATTAGACATAAATTTATCAGAAATTAATTGCAACAGTTTAAATACAATTTAATTTTTATAGTAATATCATAGCCATAGTTGAAAGCATATAATACAAGAAAGAAATAGGAAAAAAATTGAAGAGGCAATAAAATGGTTAGATATTTGAAGAGAAAAAAATATTGCGATGTCGCAGATGTGAAGATTTGAAAAGAGATCGGTGCGACAGGTGAAGCAACATTAACAGATTGAAAAAAAACATCTGGCAACAAGCTTTTCAGAATAGCATAAAATTCCCTTTCTCTATCGGAATGATTGATGTGAAATTAGCAAAAATTGATAAGAGAAATATTTGTAGAAATACTAGTTAGCAGTTTGATTATTTCAACCTCTAAATGAAATTAGATCTTAATTGATTAAATCAAAACATTATTAGATTGATCAATATTACATGATCGATGATCTATCGCAGATGAATAGATGAAAATAAACTTTTTTGTCAATGAAATTATTAATTAAAAGAATTGTTATGTCTTTTTTAGCCAACGCAAGGGACCGAAAAGAGGCGGCGATCACAAGAGATTCGATGTTTCATTCAGGTAATATTAAAATTCGTTATAATCCATAAAACAGATGACCTTTGGACATGATAGTAATATCGCATATCATACAGTATCGAGCACTCTTATATTCCAATTAATTTTTGAAGTTTAAAATGATAGTTCCTCCATTGCGCTCTTGTCCTAATCAAATTATTTTCCGCCAAAATCGATCATGCATTTCAGTCTGTTTGCTCGGAAACAGTGCTTATACTAACATTCGTATGCTTTTGGTGTATTTCGCCTTATGGGAGAACAACGTTTGCAATGTTCGTGCTAAATGCTGGTGCTTGGTTAACTATGCATGCTACTGATGGGTTTGTTATCACTTTTCCTCATTTAAATATTTTAATTTTCATTTTCAGCTAGTCAATTTATGTTTTCAATAGTAACCGAAATAATTAATTTATTTCAATTAGTATGATTCTTTTTATTATAATAATATTAATTAAATTTGATTATTTTTTTAGATTTATTATGATTGCATTTAACCATCATATCTTTGCACACATTAAGAAAACAGCTAAAAAAACCTCAATGCCAATGGTAACACTTGCGCTGTCAATAGCAACACCAAATGGAAGACGACAAAGTCGAGACCTAAATCCTAAACAGCGCTGGTTGAATTTATATCACGAGAGTAAACTAAAAATGAATAAAATTGATCTTTCAAAGAGAACTACATAGATTAAATAATCATTTCAATATTTCTTATGTATTCTGAAATTGGATGAAATTATTTTGAAGGGAAAATAAGTGCCAACCATCGTGCTCTTTTATAATTTCGATAAGATGAGAAAATAAATGATAAAATTCAAATTTAACTTCTAAGATCTTTCTTTTTTAGTTATTCCTTTCACATTTATTTCTTCCACTCTTTTATTATTAAATGTTTCAAATTTAAAAATAAATAATAATGCAGTAATTGTTTAATTATTCTCATTCTTTGCAATGATCATATTAGATTTCTATCATTTTGTTAGTATAAAACTGATTAGAACTATTGTATTTGTTGATTGATTATAATTTGAGTTGATATTTGATAAGGCCATTTGTAATATAGTAGTAATCCAATGATGATAATATTAAATAAGTTCTAAAAAAGTCCTAAATAAATTAAGAATTTCAAATTCGTAACAATGAATATTTATCGTTATTATCATTCTACTTATTATTAGCATAATTATTTAAAATAAATCTATACAAACTGTCAACAATTTCTTTTGCCTAATATATTAGAAATTTGAAGAAAAATTCTAGAAGATCCAAAATTCTCTAAACTGTGATAATTTTATTTGATAATTATTAAGAATAAACAAAAGAATGAAAAAAGAAAATGTTTTCTTCTCTAATTTCTTTCTTCTTCATCAAATTCATTTGAATATTTTGCATAATTTTATTTCTTCAAATACAGAATTAATTTCGTTTTTTTCAATTTAATATATTAGTTGAAAAATTTGATGAATGAAGGAAGAAAATTCTTTTGGAAGTTTCTTATTGTTCTTTTATTAAAATTAGTATTCTTAATTTTAATGACAGTCAGGAACAAAACGGAAAAGCAAAAGTTTTAACTTCCTTAGTGAACGAAAATTTATTGCCAGTTTTTTAGTATCTCTAAATTTTATTGTTTCTTAAATTTGCAATACATTTCATATTTCTTTAACCTTTTAAAAAAAAAGGGAAATGTATTATTTTTATTTATATTACTTCATTGTCGTAATTTACAATGTTACTAATATCCATTTCTCTCTTTAAATTCTTTGTCAGTTTTACGATTTCTAAAATTCAAATGCAAAAATATAATGCTGCATTATGTGTTTTTCATAAAACTCTTTTGAGAAAAACAACGGCTGTTTTGTGATGTTTTTTTATTTTTTCAACTAAATCTGTCAGTAATTATCTTCCCGTTTTTGTTTTTAGCTGATTCATTCATTCATTCATTTAATGTAATTTTAATTTGATTAGCTAAAGTTATGGTGAATTCTTTTGCATTTCAGATAATTGCCAATTAAAATTTAGTTTAAAATTGAACAATTTGAAATTTCATTCGGTTAATTTTCGATGAAATTTCTTTTGAATTCATAATTCTTTTATTTACAAACTTTTTATTCATCTTTGAATACCTGGAAAACTTCAGTTACACATAGCTGTCTATCTGTTCATTTGTTAGAAAAATTTTTTGACAGATTGCAATTTCTTTTTTCAGTACTTTAAAGTATAACGAAATTTGGCTTTAACTATTAGCGCTTAGTGATATCGCCATTTGGCACTCAAGAGAAATCTAACAAAGATGATAACTTAAAATGAAGTAAAACAGTTACAATATTTATTTATCACTTAGTTATTGTATATATATATATATATATATTTATGCGTGTGTGTGTGTGTGTTTTATGTCAAACAAATTATTCCTTGTTTTAATAAAACTTTGCTTCTTTTCATATTTTATCATTTCAAGCTTCTATGCTTATACAAATTAAAATTAATTATTAGAAAAGGTTTAACCATAAATGAACTGATTTTACTGAAATATTTATTACCTCTCTGACTTTCTTTTTCCTATCTAAAAAGCATTATAATTATTCTCCTCGCTGATAGATTTTCATGTAATTAGATGATTAGAATGAATATGAAAAATATGAGATCATTAAAAAGAATATTTTACGACTTAAACGAAGACAACGCTATCAGTGTCGTGAAGGCTTTTGATTTGAGTAGTATGTTGTTTCGTAGACACATATTGTTGTAAAGGATTATTCTATGTGGAATGAGATGAGTTTCATTTGTCCTGACGTTATCAGACAGTATCAGAGAGTATCACGAATAGAGTCGGGTCACCGCTTGATAGTATTGAAGACCATTCATAACACCGTTGGTACCAACATTATTTCTGGTGCTGAATGATAATATTGCCACATCGAATTGAGGCGGTGCAATTGTTTAAAGGCATTATGGAGACAAACAGAGCTAAGTGATCAAAGGGTGCCTAACATTTGCAACCACTCAACAAGCAAAGTACTTTATTATATCATTTAGACACAAAGGAAGCTAAATGAACAAAGGTTTAGCTTAATATTTGAAAGGCATTGATTAGTAAATAATGTTTATGGTATGAATTGGATAAATAATAGGATTAGAAGAATTTTCTAGAATGTAAATCATTTTATAAAATTATTTGGTTTTCTTATGATCAGACAAAGAAAGAGTTGGGAACAACAAATATGTTTAATTTAAATTTCATTTAGATAAGTTTATGTTCTTTTTAATCTTTTCTTTCTTATGAAATAAATTTTTATCAAATTTATCACTAATCACTAATTCGAATGATTTTTCGAATTTTTTAAAATTAATTATAAATTAAAATGACATACTATAAGTGAGTTAAATTATAAAGAAAATGTATGAGTAAATGAGTAATAATAGTTAATCGATTGTTTAATATGTGTAATAAAAATGAATGAGTAATAGTTAATCGATTGTTTAACTATAATTATGATTATTGCTGAAGAATTCTCAATACAAATCAATTAAAATAAATGCTGCCATTATTTAGTTAAAGATAATACGAAGGACAAACATCAAAATAATTGCTTGTAAAATTAACTTTAAAAGGATGGATGCTTCCATCAATTCTTCTTTTTTCGTTGAAATTTGAATTTTAAATATCCTTGCCCGTATCACTGAATGTTTCCTCTTTTTTTCATTTTTAGTATTTCTAAATATTTGGCTTAAATTTGGCTAATTAAAGAGAATTAGTAAACGTCATCGGTGGACATGAAACCTTTGCTTATATTTCAATTGAATTACGAACTGACCAAATGGCACAATAAGGGTGAAGAAAAAAACGGGTGGTCAAAGATGATTGAATACGATCCTATATTATCTATTTTATCCTATGTTAAATAATTTCATCAAAGAAAGTCCTCTTCTTTATACATTTTCATATGCGCAATTGTCTCAATTAATGCAGGACAATTGAAAAGAGAGCATATCAAAGTGTGGTTTTTGAATATTAATTAAGGATGAAATTATTTAATTTGAAACAATACCATTACTGCCTACAATCAACTTACTTCTTAGAAGAGCCCGGACAAAGTTTTTTTTTATATTGAATACTGAAAAAATTTCTTATACCAACCTGGATTGAAAGATTTATGCCTGTTAGTTTTTATGCATAGCTTGTAGCTCAAGTAAGAGGAGCTTAGTTTGTTATATAGGCCTGGAAACTTTAATGTTGAGATAAATTGCTCTTTGAAAGTTGATCATGCCTAAAATTATTAACTATTGAGATATTATAGTCATGTGTTAATTAAAATTGTTCACAAATCAATTTAGCAATTTCAATGCTATGAAGATCTTCGATGAATTGGAGACCCAAATTGTAAATTTAAGTATTTGAGTCAGCTAAGGTTTTTCTTTTTTCCCATCAATTAAGCTGCATGCAATTCAAATTAGCCGAATTTCAATCAACTAACATTCGTTAGTGTTTTTTTGTGAGAAATTTATCGATCGATATATATATATATATATATAAATAAGTAGGCATAAAGTCAATCAATAATTTTTGCTAAATCACTTACAAAGTTTACTGAAATTTAAAGTAATAAATTGGATCGGAATAATAAATTATAACACTAAATGAATGTTTCGTTGTTTTGCTTGATTATTTTCCTCACAAAGCTCTAAACTAATTACTATAATTTAATTAATTAAGAAAAAGAAAAGCTCATACAGTATAATGTAATTTAATTAATAAATAAGAAACTCATACAGTATAATTTAAAAAATGAAATTACTATCGAATAATGAAAAATTTCAATTTTCCATTCAATGAATTAAAACAAATTCGAACTTATAATAAAATTCTTTTAAAAAATGACTAATTACTAAGAGAAGAAAAAACAATCCCAATAATTAACAAATTCTAACGGATAGCACAATCCGAAGAGTGAAGAAAAGTTTGTTGATTTTAGATTAATTTTGCGACTTTCATTTTTGAGAAATTCAATGCAATCTAATAACAATATAATAATCCACAATTTCCCATTGCTGCTACTTGAAAATTATAAGAGATTTCAAAATTGTTGAAGTCTCTGAGTATGCTATTATTTTTCTTAGATATTTGCACCTATTCTTTGCTTATTTCATATATGTCTAATTTCTTAATTGTAAGTAGTTTGTTTTTTTTAATGTAAATAATTACGAATTTTATTTATTAATATCATTATTTGTTGATTTTTTTGAATTTTGAAAAAGTATAAATTTTAATAAGACTGTCATTTACTTCCTTTTGCTTATTCCGATAGAGGAAAATGCCAATATAATTTAATTAGAAATTCATTTTTGATTCGATCATTAACTTTATTATAATTTTTGAAGATAAATATTTAGAGTAAATAAACCTTCTATAGCAATGTTAGATAAACCTTAGTAAAAAAGAATTTAAATTAAATAATTAAAAAAAGGTAAAGCGCTTTTAATGTTTAATTGCTAATTTTATTGGATAGCTTCGAATTACTCTTTGAATTGAAGAAATGAAGTTTAAATTAAGAAATCATATCATATTTCAAACTTTAATAGATTTTGAAAATTTTTGGATTAGCATTGGAAATTTTTTCTGCTCAATAATTCCCGTGAGCTAATGGAAGACAAGAAGGCTAAAATAGAAATAGATTGGATAGATAGAA